GCTAGGCTGCTGTTCCCTCTGAGTGTGGGAGGTCTAGCCACTCTCAGGCTGGAGGTCCATTTCTTGATTTGTGGTAACCTGGGTGTGTAATGCACAGCTGGGTACTTCATAGCTGTGTGCAGGCTGGGAGGGGTGGGGGGCACTGGGTGGGCAGAATGCCATGTTGTCACGAAACTTGTTGGCCAGGCTGTGACCACTGGCTATGGAGTATTCACCATGGCCCTGCCCTTTCCAACAGGCCACCTGCTTCTCAGGTGTCCACCGAAGCACCTGGGTTTGCTGGTTCAAATGCAACTGATAACAGACAGAAGGCCCTTGGGTCACTGGTGCTGCAGCTGTCCAAACCTGTGGACCAGGTGGAAAACAGCTCTGTGAGGCCAAAAGACATGTTGGGCCAGGGTTATCAGTGTGATTTAAGCCGTAAGCAGTCAGAGTGGTTTAAATGGATCCATTATTAACTCTCGTGTGTTCATGCACATCAGCACACTCACATGAACGTGTCATAGAACCGTGAGCTGATCTGTGCCCTCGGGAAAGAACCAGTGAGTAAAATCTAGCCAGCTTTTTTTTTTTTTGGCATTGGAATCTGAACTTAGGGCCTCACTCTTGCTGGTTAGGTGCTCTACCACTTGAGCCACTCTGCCAGCCCCCAATAAATGAAATCTAAAGAGAAGGAAGGATGTTTAGGTCAAACCACTAAGAGCTCTGGATTGATAAGGAAGCTGGAAACAGATATTCAAGTACGAACCAGATGGAAAGGTTTTGTCACCCGACACCAGTGACTGTACTGCACTCGATGCTGACTGCAGAGCGTTTGGATTTGGGCAGCAGCCATCTTTCCACTCTGGAGTGTCTGCATGTGTATAAGGGAGGTGTGCTTGGTAGGAAGAACTAGACTTGCTGACTGCTCGGCTGCTCTCACTGTGGTAGAAGGAATGGGGGATCTGCCAACTGGTCTGGACAATGATGTCCCCATCCTTTAGCCAGATCCTCAACCCCTGCCATCTGCAGGTGCTGGAACTCCCCCAGGAGTGCTGAGGGCAGCCCTGGCCCAGCTGGGGTTTCCTTCCTGCAAGAGGACCTGCAAACCACTTGTGGCAACCTGCAAAGAAACCACATGCACTGAGGGTGGAACTGGTGTCCCCTGCCCCAGGATAGTTAGTGCGAATGCGGTCCATCTACGGACGTTTGGAGGACACAGTGTGGGAGCCCAAACCTTTGCTGACAATGGCAGGTAGACATGGAAGGGGATCTGGGGAAAGAGAAAGCCCTACCAAGGCTGGTGGAAAGGGAAGAGAAGCCAAAACTGACCCTGCTTGGCTGTGCCCTGGTGGCTTCTGGGACAGTGAGCCCCCAGCATTAGGCCTGAGACCATGGCTTCATGGGAGGCTGTCAGAGGCTCGAGAGTGTTTCGTTTTAGATAAGCCAACCCTGAGGCTGGGTGCCTGCGTGGTTAGTGTGAGGATCGAGGGGCTTAGTGTGAAATAAAACCAGCATCATTCTCACTCAGCTCTGACTTTTAGTGCCCAAAGGAACTAGGAGCCAGTCTACCTGAGCACCCTCATTTTGAAAGGAAGAGTTTGTGGGCTCTGGCCAGGGTCTCCAAGTTTGCTTTTAGGTCCTTTTTCATTTCTGGATGGAGCGTTCTTTTGCTGTGGTTGCAGGACAAGCTGCATGGCATGTGACCCATACAGTCACTGGGGATATGCCCAGAAGGGCACAGGGTTCAGTGCTCTGCAGACACCTGCTGAATCTGAACTCTGAGTATGGTTTGTAAGGAAGTCTGACTGGAGGGGGCAGTACTGGGGAAGGGCCTGGAACCTCAGCTCCTGTGTAATGTGAACTCTTACTACCTTCCCTGGAGGGGCCGCCCTCAGCTGCATTCTGACCCCGACCCCCACCCAGGTAGGTAACAGCTGGTCATACGGCTGGAGGTCTGTGTCCCTTGGCTGTCCTCTACTCTGTGGGGCCTGAGCCAGGGCAAGGAAAGGTCAGGTCCAGGCTCACTGTGCTTGGTGTCTCTGGAGGTGCCTGTGGTGGCTGAACCAGCCTAGCAGGCTTTGCCTTAGTCTCACCTCCACTGTCCACTCAGGTGTCACAGCATCTTGGGCAGACACCGCAGGAAGGGAAACGGCTTCCATTGGTCCAGTCAATGCAGGGGAGCCCTGTCCTGGTATGGCCCAGAGTGTTTGGAGGCCAGGCTGCTCAGGGGACAGGCTTCCCTTCCTACTTACCTGCCAGCCCCCAAGTCATCACTAGCAAGAGCTACCCTGTCCCCATGTCACAGTGTGACCCTGCCAAGGGCCCCACAGCTCCTCCCCCTTTCCCTCGCTCCCCACCTACAGTAACTAGGCTGTGGTGGGGGGGATGGATGCCCAGTGCCCTCCCCACCTTGAACTGCTGCACCCACTGGAATGTTCACAATCACTTCCCCCAGTCTGGCATCTGGCAAACGGATTTTATGTTCACAAAGCTAACAATAAAAAGTTAGTTTGCCTTTTTTGTTTATTTTTTTGATTGACACATTTTATTTTGCAGGGTGGTGGTTGGGTGGTTGGGGGTGCTGTCCATCCCTCCTGTGGACAATCAGATGAGGAGCACAGGACAAAAGCCTCCTAGGCACCTTGAGCTGGTGACTTTATCAAGGTGAGCTTCTGGGTGGCCTGTCCTTCCTGGACTGGACAGGCCTTCCCTGGGCCCCTGCCCCTGCCCCAGCTGCATTCCTATCTCAGTATTGTTTGCAGGCTTGAATAACAACATCTTACACGCGCACACACGCGTGCACACACACACCACACGCACACACATACACAAAGAGTGACAGATTTCTGGCCCATTTCCACATGAATGCAGCGTGGGCTCATCTCTGCTATTTGCAGATGGAAGTGTCTCAGCTGCCACTGGATAAAAGAAGATGTATTTTTATACTGAAATCATACACTTTTCCCCCTTAAAAGTCATGATAAAATCTTCATTCATGAATTGCATTCCAGCTAACTGCTTTCAAAAATAGCTGCGTGTACTCCTTTTCAGAAAACACTGACTATCCACTTCCAAAGGCATTCGAGATTAGGGCTCAGCCTGGAAGGTTCAGGAATTCCTCCTTTGTGGGCTCTGTAAGATTTTTGTCTACTACTTCAGTTCATTGAGCCAGGGAGACACAACCATCAAGCTTCCTGCTGCTGGGCAGATGGCAACAGAGGGAGGGAGGGGTTGCCTGGGACAACTCTCCTGGGCACCTGACCAGCAAGAACTCAGAGGACCATCCTGGAGAGCTGAGGAGCAGTAGGGCTAGAAGGATGGGAATGCCTGTGTCCATCAGGGGCCAGAGGCACGGGCACCTCAGCACGTGGGCAGAGAAAGGGAGGGAAAAGGAAGCCAGGCCAGCTGAGCAGTCTGTGTGGTGGAAGCTGCCATCCATTCTGTGTTATGGAAATTCCACTTTCTGTTGGAAATTTGACAAGCGTATAAATACAGTATTAAAAACAAGAAGGAAGCCAGGCCAGTGAGGGCAGCTGGCTCACAGAAGAGCGCACCAGCAAGTCTGCACCTCCTGTCAAACGCCAGAGCGGTCCCTGTCCCCACCCTGACTCTGCGGCCTGCTGCAGTACAGGGTTCCTTGGCAGGACCGTCCTTCAAAACACAGCACCCCACCTTAGAATAGTGCACACCATGTGAACTTGAGCCATCACAGTTCCAAAGGTCTGAAAACCTGACCCCACCCCCACCATGAGTGTCAAACGTGATATTCTTTAAATCATATGATTTACAAGACACCCAGATGCGAGCATTGCTGAGGCCTTGGCTTGGCCTTCTGTGTGAGGCAGAGAGCACTCAGGCAGGGAGCCCCTTTAGGTTTCTTTTGAGTCAGGTTCTCACACCAGGTAGCCCAGGCTGGCCTCAAACTTGTGATCCTCCTACCTCAGCCTCCTGAGTAGTGGGATTGTAGAAATGGCCACCACACCCAGCAAGGGAGCCCCTTTTCTGTGGGAAATACTCAGTTGTGACCTTTAAGACTACTAAAGACCACCAAATGTCTCCAATCCTAAGAAAACCGAACCACACAAGCCTATTTACAAGTTTGTTTAGCTATGCACAATGGAGACATGAGCTGAAATCATCAGTACTCTGAGTGTTCTACTTGAGGCTTTTTTTTTTTTTTTAAACCCATTTTATTGATAGGCAGCCATGGACTTGTGCCTGCCCAGGGGTGTGTGAGAACAATAAAACTGAAGATTCTGCCAACAACAACAACGAACAAACAAACATAAAACCATTTTATTTCAATGGGTGAATAAGTATTTTGCTCGGTACAACCCAGAAAACAAATGGCCAAGGTACAACTGCAGTTTGTCTTAATAAATAACGAAATGCCATTTATATCTCTTAAACTTCACATGACACATTATATTTGAAATAGATAACCCCCTGTTGCTATGGGCGTGGGAGCAGCCCAGGTGTTGGTGAGTGGTGGGGAGTAAATGCACCAGCTGGGGTGAGCCCCACTGTCCCCTCCTGTCCCTCACTGCTCCCGAGGTGAGGGTGACCCTGCAAGCCCCCAGGGGCCCACAGCGTGCTGGAGCCTGAGGAGAGGGGATCATGGCCTCCTGGCGCTGGCCTCCTGCTGCCCCATCCACCTTATTTATTGCTTCATGGCCGGTGACAATTCCACAGGTACAGTTTCTAGGTCAGTATTGAGCATGGGGCATGGGAGGCGCCTTGAGCACCTGCTGGGTCTTGGTTCTGTCTCAGCTTCCAATGCCACACGGAAGTTTGTGCGTGGCTGCCAGCAGGATCTTGTGCACACGTCCTGCCTTTCACTGGGTACATTCAGACAGCACGTTGTGGCCCGAGCACTCCCCAGCACGGGGCTCGCACACGTTAACATTCTGCACTAAGTCCCTGAGAGGGACGGGCTGCCGGGTGCTGCAGGCCAGACACCATGCTCTCTCTCTCTCTCTCTCTCTCTCTCACACACACACACACACTCGAGGGCCTGCGTGGTCAGGCATCTGCAGGCCGAGGCTGGCAGGCCACTGGTCTCGGGCTCACTTAAGGCAGTGGACACGGCAGCCCTGCAGACACGGCACTCCTGTGTTGAGCTCCACAGTCTAAATGGTACCAAGAAGCCTCAAGTTGGCTTCTGTGTCTTCTCCAGATGTGTGTGCAAAAGGCAAGGGCAGGTCATTCTTTTCACGACAGGATCCTTTATTTTAGCTTCTTCTCAAAAGACAGTTTGTGGAGGACAGGCTGGTCCCTCTACAGGGCTCAGTGGTCAGTGTTCCTTCAACCTGAAAGCAAAGGGTAAAGTGACAGCAGGCACAAGCCACGTGAACACACAGGGGCCAGCACTCTAGCCTCGTCTTGCTGTAGGGAGAGGGCTGGTGGGTAGCCCGCACACCCTTCCCGAAGCCTGGGGGTGGCAGGGAGCACTGGGGGTGGGTGCAGTGAGGGCGAGGACAGCTGAGGGATGACCCTCTTGGATGGAAAAACCACAGCTCAAAAAGCTTGACACAGGAGGCGATTTTCCCCACATATCCTGCAGTTGGATTTTGAGGTCAGAGCCCCACAATCACACCCACGCACACCCACTTAACAAAGAAAAGAAGAAAATGAGGGTGATATGCCATGCACGGGACAAGCGGTAAGCTCTTTCCTTCCTGTCGGGAAGTGAGGTGCAGAGGTGGCTGGCCTGGGAGAGGCCCCACTGTGGACTTACGGTGCTTGGTTCCCCGTTACTGGCCCAGGACAGCTCAGCTCCTTGTGTATGAGGCGGATCAGGAACTGTACCCAAAAGAGAAGACTCCTGTTATGCTGGTGAAGACCCAACAGATGCCAGGTGGTGTCAGTGGTCACCTTGAAGCCCACACCCACCGAGACCCACCGAGCTGGCCACTGAGCTGCATGGCTCTCCCCATAGCACCCAGCAGCTGTGTCACCCATGGAGACGCTTCTCAGTGGGACCACAGGCACTCAGCACCCTTGGTTGGAGAGCTGTCCCTTACTAAGGCCAAAGCAATGGGTTCACCAATCATGGCTGGAAACTTCCAAAACCATGAGCCAAGTAAAGCTTTCCCCTTTAGAAGTTAATTATCATGGGTGTTTGTGAGTGACTGACAAAACGCTGACTAATGCCACACCACCTTGTGTTGCTCACGTTCTGCTCCAGTCCCTGCGTCGGCCTTAGTGCCATTGTCACTCGTTTTATAATGTGGAAGCTACAGCTCTGAGATGCCCTGTTGCACACATGCCAGGCAGGACCCAGAGCCACAGAGCTCCTCGCTTGTGGCCTTTTTACATTCTTCCTGAAACCACAGAGCACCAGACACCTGCATCTGTTTCTGACAATGTGCTTTCTTAGAGACAGAAGGAGCCTTGGCCCACACGCGGAGAGAGGGTGGGGACCGCCGGAGTCCTCAGGATGTTTTGCCAGGTCTGGCCAACAGCCGCAGAGAAGCTCGCTGGGGTTGGTGGAATGGAAACTGAGGAGACTCACCAGTAAGGCACAGGCGTCGGCAACCATCAGCATGTAGAACACATTGGTCCATCCAGAGGGAGAGATGAGACCCGCCAGGAGGGGGCCCAGGGCCGCTCCTGAACAGACAGGGACACAAGGGCTGTTTAAGGAGGGCTCTGGCAGGGCTTCCTGTAAAGCAGTGTAAACCTGTAGTGTTTTAATGAGACCATGAGAACAAGGAAAGAAAACACCTCGCTCCATCTTCGGGCTAATGAGGGGAAAAGCTCCATGTACTCGTTGCTGGAAGAAAGCATGGGAGCAAAATTCCTCTGGGATCAATTCTAAGAGCACAAATTGACATCTGAGACTCTGCTCTCTCTGTTGATGTGCTACTTCATTATTTTCATTATTAATATTTAATTTATGCAAAGGAACGTGAACCCAGCACACAATGTCAGATATCCTGTGCTGTGAAGTGTACTGGGGAACTGTGAGTAAGATCCAGAGGTGCCAACCTCCTACCCATGTCGACTTCCTGCTCTGACCATTGCACGGTGGCCACATCGGGAGTGTCCTGTCTTTAGGGAGAAGACACGGGTAGTTAAAGGGCAGCACGTCTGCATGTTACTCTTCAGTGGTTCTGAAAAACGACGCCCGTGTGAGCGTGTAAACCTTTGAGGTGCAGGACACAGCAAACCTACCGCAATGTCCGTGAATTCTTTGTACCGTATTTGTAACTTTTCCACAAGTCTAAAATTATGTCATTGTTGGGCACCAGTGGCTCACACCTGTAATCCTAGCTACTTGGGAGGCTGAGGTCAGGAGAATCATGGTCTGAGGCCAGCCTGGGCAAGACCCCCCATCTCCAAAATAACCAGAGCAAAATGGACTGGAGGTGTGGCTCAAGCAGTAGAGCACCTGCTTTGCAAGTGTGAAGCCCTGAGTTTAACCAAAAAAGCCCTAGTACCAGCCCCCCAAAATATGCCAAACTAATTATTAAAAACTGCACAAAGAAGGCAAGTTTTTAAGAATCCTCCAAAATGCCCGAACAGTCGCGTGCCTAGGAATGTTCCCGTGCCTGCACATTTTCCTCACAGGGACTGGGCTGAGTTCTGACACGTGTGGAGGATGGTTTGTTCTGGTGGACACATGGTAAGTCACTGAGCCAATACCTGAGAGGTGGGCTGGTTTTGTTTCAAGTGTTTACAAAGCACACTTACTACTTTATAATCTGAAAAGCAATTGAAAAATACATTCTTTTTTCAGTCTCAGAAAAAAATCCGGGTAAACATGGTCAGCTGCTTCTCTGTGTGTTTTCTCAGTGCTTCCCAAACACAACTGAATTTCAAAGACCACAAATCCACCGAGTAAAGGGCAGATGAGAGAAGGCCCACATTTCTGGAGATGACAATGGACACAGCTCACGTCTCCAACTCTGTCCTCAGAGGGAGATGGCCCTGGTGTTTCTGACCAGAGCCAGACCCAGCCAACTGCATGGCGCAGGGGAAAGGTGGCAGAAGAAAAACAGGTATCGTTTGGAGCCTCTCTGATGCACCGTGGGTACATTCCCTCCACCCCTCCATCACTGGTGTCCCCTCTAACCTCACTGACTCGTGATCCCCCTACCCCTGCAGGACAGCACTGGCTAACCCATGGGGACACCGAGGCCCCCACCGAGGCCAGTGGTGGGGAGGAACCTGATGAGAACAGGAGATCCAGAGAACAGTGCCAGCTCCCACCAAGCAGCCATCCACAGCCCATGCAGTGACATGAACACCAGTGGTGAGACCCCACTCTCCACAGTGGACATGGAGGAGTCTCCTCTGATTCCAGCTGGACCCGAGGCTATGAAGACCAGCAGTGAACACGCTGTCCATCAGAAAGGACTCCAAGCAGGCGCTGATAGCTCAGTACTAAATGTGAAGACGCAAGGGGCTGGTCAAGACTCACCCCATGCCTGAGGGAGAGGAGCAAGCAAACGGGGAGGAGAGGAAGCCTAGAAGAAAATTCCCAGAAATGACAATGCCCTCAGAGTGCCAGCAGAAAACTAAGCCGAATCTGAACCCTACAAGCTTCCCATTTTTGTAGTGGAAGCTCAGTGTATTACTAGCAATTTCACTGGACTCAATCTAATACACACCGCATCAAAGAAATGCACTGATGGGTAGGAAAACATTCACGAGCATTGAAACATGAAGGGCAAAATAAAACAGTTAAAAATACAAAGACTGGAAGGTCAAGTCAAGAACAACTCCCAGCTCTCTCAGAGAACAAGGAGACAGGCAGGAAGGGCAAAAGTAGAAAGAAAAAAATAAATAAAAGATTAATCCAGGAAGCCTGACATCTGACTGTTTTCCAGAAAGAAAAGAAAATGGAGACAGGCGTTGGTGGCTCATGCCTATAATCTTAGCTACTCAGAACACAGACATCAGGAGGATTGAGGTTCAAAGCCAGTACTGCCAGAGAGACAGAGAAAGAGAGAGAGAGAGAGAGAGAGAGAGAGAGAGAGAGAGAGAGGGAGAGAAAGAGAGAGAGAGAGAGAGAAACAATGGAGCCCAATTGCCCAGCTTTGAAAGGCATGCTTCCAGATGCAGTAGGACTGCCTGGTGTGGCACAGCAGTGGTGAAGGGCTCTGGCCTAAGAAGGTGACCAGAGCCTTCCCTGGTCAAGAGGAAACTCAGCCAGCCATGGTGGACAGAGCTGAGTGAAGGTGGACCCCTTTGAAGACACTGAGATTCTGAAGGAAAAGGGCTTTTCACCCAGGGGAGAGCTGACAGTAGAACTCTGACACCACAGCCAGGCAAGCTCCCAGGATTTACTTCCTGGGCTCTTGGGAAGAGAACTGAAGACGTCTTCCACTATGGGGGAGCAGTGAGCAGCGATCTAGAAAGGCAGGCTCCATGGAGGCCAGAGGAAAGAGCAGTGCATGGGACGGGGATGAAGGAGAGGCCCCGACAAGGGCTGTGTAGCACAGCAGGAGGCTGTGAGGCCCTTTGCATGGAAGGGAATAGAAGGGGGCTCTGAAGGCAATGGCACGGAGGCAGGGAATGGCCTGGGATAAAGCTAAACAAAAGGAAAAACAAGTCAGTCAGCTCTTGGAGGAGACAAACAGTGTCTACTGAGGATGACAGCGTTCATTTCCTGGCTGGAAAGCTGACACCATCAGCACAGCCTATGGAACTGGGATCGGGGATCATGGGGCAGCAAATGTGGGAAGAGCTAAGTCCCATTTTCTTCACAGCACAACACTCCTGAATGCAAGTCAGTCATGCATATGGTGAGGCCAGAGGAAGAGGCTGGCAGGGCTTGCTTCTAGGAAGAGGGCCTGGGAGCAGGGTGTGGTAGTGCATGCCTGTAATCCTAGCCACTCGGGAGGCAGAGGCAGGAAAATGTGAGTTCAAGGTTGGCCTGGAGAAGACCCTGTCTCAAAAGCAAAATGAAAACAAAAGGGTTGGGTAAAGCACTTGCTTTGCATGTAGGAGGCCTGGGTTCGAGTCCCAGTAATGCAAGGTGGGGGAGGAATAGAAGGAAGAGGTCCTGAGGATGCAGGGCAGCTGCTGTGCTGCATTGTAAGCCTTGTAAGACGGTCTGGCTCCTATGGTTACATTGTGTTGACTTTGAAAACTGGGCTGCAGGGAGCAAACAGAAATGTGTCCTACTGGGATCCACTTCTAAGCCCTGTGAACACCCCAAATGCACCAACTTGTGTCATTTGAGCCACATGGCACTAGCGATAACGGCACTGATTGCTTTACAATTAGCCAAGCTTTGCCTCTGCCTACACCTGAGCTGAGCACACCGGGCAAGTGCTCTCGTGAACGAGGTTCTACAGAAATGGTGTCGCCTCCCCTCGAGTCTTTGCTTTTGTCTGGTGGGCAGCATGCATGGGAAGACATAACGAGTGAGACCTAGTGGAGGACAAGTGTGCGTGCCGTTGCCACGGTGACCAGTGACTGGTCCCCATGCACTTGAGCAGGCAGAATGGCACCGCAGCAGAGGGCTTAGGTCTGTTCCCATCAGACCTTCAACAGGGCTGCAGAAACCCGGGTGGGTGCACGGCCCTGTGGAGGGGCAGTACTGGTGCAGGTTAACCAGAGGGTCAGAGATGTCCAGCTGGCCCACTGCCTTCCTCCCGTGTGGGCAAAGGCACTTAGCATGGTATTTGCCTCCTACACAGCCTGGAGAGCAGGGGCGGGCTGCCTCTGTTCGTGGACACAGCGGCTCTGCCTCAGCCTTGGACTTTGTTTCTCCTACTCTTTGTGCAGAGCATCAGGACAAAAGCACTTTTCCTCCTAATTCACAGTTTTTCCTCTGCTTTACCTTACACTCAGGCTGCCCACAGACCATCATTCCAGCTCTAAGGAACAGCGTCACACTGATGTACAAAGACCTGGGAGGGACAGAGGCGGGGAGAAGGGCGTGCAAAGTCACACAGTCCATCAGAACGAGTGCCCGGGAGCTGCTGCCTTTCTCCTTGGAGTGTCTTCCAGATCCCCGGAAGTCCTCCTGAGCTGTGTGAGTGGACAGCAGTGGGCCTGCTCCTCACAGGGGGGCTGTGCCGCTCAGATGAGAACCTGGGTGCACGTCCTCTCCCACGCCTGTCTGCCCTGAGTTCGTCAGCTGCCCCTGGCAGCCCCCACACACTGTTCTCCCTGGAGCAGCTGACACTGACCCTGGCGTTCGGACCCTGGGCACCTGCACCCTGGGACAAGTGCTCCCCTCCTCTTGTGGAGTTCTGTGCCTACCTACAGACCCGGTCCCGTCGATGATGGCTGTCACAGTGGACAGGGCGTGGGAGTTTCCCTTCAGACTTTTATGAGTCCCCTAGAGAGGAGAAGGAGAAGAGGAGTGTGGGAATCACGGCGGTATTAGAAGTGAGAAACAAACCCCTGCCCGCCATTCACAAATGACTCAACATGCAGATGTTTTCCATCAGAAAATTTAAACCATACTCCACCCTGAGCTCTCCCTGGGGAGGTAACCAAGGCTCGAGGTTCTAGGAGACAGACAGCCTTTGAAATACCCATTAAAGCATATTTTAGTTAAAAGAATTCCTAGGATTCTTCTCTAATAAACAAGTATTTATCCAGTACAGACAGACTCCTCAAGAAGTGCCTGAGTAGCCAACATGGAAGACAGAAAGGTGAACCACAGTCCTCGACAGCCAGGGTCTTTCTGTGACACGTGCCAGCTCTGCAGTGTCTGAGACCAACCTGACCTGTGGGGACGCCAGGGGAGGGAGGGGAAGAGAGGAGAGCCCAAGACCTTGGGGGGCCCTATGCACCTCAACGGCCAGCTGTAGGAGCTCTGGTTCCTAAAAAGCTGCTCACATAAAGTTAGGGAAAAAAGGACAAGCTGAGATCAATAAAGAAAAAAAAATCAGGAAAAACAGTGCTCAGAAGCCTAGAACAGTAAAAATAAACCAGAGCGTGAAAATCAAACGCCACACGCATATAAAGTGAAAGTCTCCAACGACCCACTTTTTTTTTTTTTTTTTTTGGTCTAAAGAAAGAAGTGAAGGCTCCTCTTTTCTGTGTCCAGCCCAGTTCACGGTCTGGTGTGGCTCCTTCCAGAACTTTCCATGGGCACATGGCTGTAAGCCTGCCCAACTCCTGCATGCCTGTGGACAGGTTTCCTAGGACAGTGTCAGGAACTCACTACAGAGCGGCCAGAGCAGGGCTGGCCTTGGGTAGGTGACAAGGGGAGAAGGTGAGAAAAGCCCAACCAGCGCCTCTTCACTGGACTGCGCTCTGCTGGCCTCCTGGCTGTGAGAAGCCCGAGGGGCCTTGTGTGACGGTAAATGTTTGGTCTCTGGGACCAACCTACCTGTGACCCTGAGACAGAGTGGAAAGGAATAAGGTGGGAAGGCTCCCAAGGGACAGACTTCAGCTACTGCAAACAAGGTGTGGACAGCTTTAAGGACAGAGGCCATCTCTGCCATGAAGGAAGAGGCAACACACTCACCAGGTCTGCGGAGACAGCGGTGGTGATCAGTGCGTAGGGCCCGCTGACCAGGGCCCCACTCAGGAGCAGCATGGCTGTGGGAAGCAGAGGGGGACTCGGATCAGAGCAGTGTCCTGTGGAGAGCCACCTGTTGGCACTCACCACCGTGAGGGCGGGTGTTACAGAGAAAGGGCCACCCTCCGGGGACGCTGCCGGGGATGCAGCAGAAATGGCTTCCTCTCAATGTGCCCAGCAGGGCATTTCCAAGTCAAGTCTATACTTTTCCCCAAAGACTTGGGCTACTGTTTGGAGGACCTGGGACTCAGGTTCCCTGGCCCTCAACGGGCAGCAGCAGCTGGCAGACAAGGGGTGAGAGCCCCGAGGGCCGAGCACAGGCCTGCACCAGGGCCCATGCCTCAGCTTCATCTGCTGCAAAAGGAACGTCCTCTGTCAGGAAGGTGCTGTGCTCTCCACAGGAGGGTGACCACACTGTTCTCTGAACCCCACAGTCCCTTTCCTAAACTGCCCCCGGGCTCATTTTCCTGAAGTAGCCTCTGGGGCCATAGGAAATGTCACATGTCCCTAACATTGGCAAGTTGCTTTCTGGTCATCTCCCCCTGCATCTCACCAGCTGGCTCCTGAGAGCAGAAAGCTCATTTCCTAAGGGCTAGAGCTCAGTATGGCTGCGCAGGAAGGTAACCGTTAGCCGGTCCTCCAACACTATACAATGGCTGGGACGGGTGGCTGACAGAGTCCAGCTGGACGGAGGTGGACCAGGTCTGCCTGCCTTCTCCAGGCTGAACACTACTCAGGTCACACCGCCAGGTTCCATAGTGCAGGAGCAAGCCTGGGCTGACTTTCCCCGCCAGGGCAGATCTCAGCTGTGGCAGCCGTGTAGAGGTCAAGGGAAGGGGCTGCCTTCCTGCTACACCAGGGCTTCTTCCCTCTGCCCCTAGGGTCTAGCACCGCCCCACCAGGAGGGTGCACTCTCTCCTGCCCACTCCCACACCTGTAGCCACAGGGCTGTGCCTGGGAGTAGGAGCCCGCTTCTCCCAAAGAGGGATTGGAGTCTGCGGTAGCCACACCTATGCCCCAGTCATACCAGGTGGGTGCTTCTAGGTTACCTTTGTCTTTCATGTCACCAAGCTATCAGGACAAAACACACATGTGAAAGAAAGATGAGCAGCAAGGCTCGTGTCCTCACCTACAGTGGCTTCCAGGCCCATCTTGCTAACGGAGGAGAAGACGTAGAGCTGCGGATGGCAAAACAAGGCAGAAACAGAGGCTTACCACGAGCAGTGTGGCACTGCCCAGGAGTCTGTGGCTGGGACAGCCAGACAGGTGATTCTCAGGCGGCCAGCCCAAGAGGAAGCCCTGGGAATGAAGGGAGACCATGCGCCATCCAGCCCTTCTGGGGACAGTGCCTGTGGGCCCCGGCAAGGTGAGGAGACCTTGGGAACCTGTGGGGTGGGGGCTGAGCTGCTGGCGTGATGGATGGGGTGCTGGGCAGCTGGCCCTGGGCTCTTCATCTGCAGCCTGCCCACCGGAGCGGCTGCACCCAGGATGCGGGAGTTCTTGTGCAAGAGCACCCGGTCATTTCCTAAATGCTCTCTGGGAGTCCAAGGCCCCAGGATGACTGAGCCTTGCTCCCTCACAGCCTGAGGGAGAGGCAGTGGACGAGTAAGGCGTAAGTAACACTATGGCTTCTGACACTGCTATGATTAACTGCCATGGTGGGCCAGCCTGTCCCTGGATCCTCACAACCATACTGTGAGGAGGTGCTACTGTCACCCGTTTTTCAGATAAGGGAACTGAGGCGTGGAGAGGGGAAATCATTTGCCCAAGGCATACACTATTAAATGCTTGAAAAGTAGGACAGCAGGAGCTGCTCCTGGGAAAGGAGGGTGGAGGAGGGGGACCCCAGCGAGCAGCAGTCTGCGTGAAGCCCACAGTGAGGGGAAGCAGTGGTGTTGGCGGGGAGTGGCTTTGCAGTGCAGTGGAGGGGCTGAGCCAGACGCGCCGGGGGGAGAGGGACCCTGGTGCTGAGGGAGGAGGCCACACCGCAGGAACAAGGGATGAGCTGAGCTACTCGGTGAGAGCACAGTGTGCTGTAGGGGAAGACAGCGGAGGCCGCCCGCAGCAGTGGGCGAGGAGGGTGGTGCAGGAGGCAGGGCTGACCGTGGGGGCCGCAAGCAGCAGCATGAGGCCACAGGTGGAGGCCCGTTTCTCCAGCCGGTCAGAGATCACACCTGCCAGGATTCCACCTGCAACAGACAGCGTGTCAGGAGCTGGTGTCTGGGCATGAGCTCCCCAGAGGAAAAAGAGTCACAGCAGCAAAAATAGGGCCCTCCTCCCAAGCCCCCGGGCCACACTGGTAACGGCGGGCAGTTTGCTCAGGGGGACTGTGACCTCCCAAAGGACCTCATCTGTTGTGGTCTGGGTGAGCCCTGGAGGTACCTTCCATAAAACTGAAGGGTGCTCTTGGGGTTGGGTTTTCGGCTGCCCGGAAACCCTTTTGCCTACTCTGTCACCTGCCAGGGAAGTTTCTGAGGGCATCTGGTTCAAGGTCAGATGCAGGGTCTCCCCTCTCCCCCGTGCCAAACAATGGCTGAAGCCACTCAGATCGCACACCTGCCCCTCCAGCAGCAAGTAAGCTCAAACCGGCTTTGACAGCCTCCTTAGGTTCTGGACAGAGTGGAACGGGAGGTCATGAACTTACCAAAGATTCCGCCCACATCGAACAGGGTGGAGAGCTCCCCTGCTTTCTGGGCATCGAGGTGATCTGTGAAATGATCGGTGTGTCTAATGAGGACACGCAGCCCAGTGAGCACCACGGTGCAACTCACACCCAGGACTCTCTGTTCCTTAAGCATGATTTGCGCCAAGAACAATGATTAGTTAACTCAGATTTAAAAAGAGCACAGCCACACGGAAAGGGTCACTATACTTTTAACCCAAGCCCAGGCCCTGCCTGCCCAGCCTTCTGGTCACTCTGCCTTTGGTCACCACTGCAGGGGCAGCATGAAGGGGCTCAGGACAGAAAGAGGACCTGGGAAGTCCGCTGCAGCCTGGCCCAGCATGAGTGTGCTGCACAGTGTGCCATCTGACTACAGGGGGGGACAGGGGTCTTCTCACACCTCAGAGGTGGGACCAAGGCCCTGCGACACCCAGCTCAGATGTCCACTCCACTAGACACAGCCCTGCGCTCTCAGGTGGATGGTGATGGCAGTGCAGGAGGAAGGGTTTGGGAAGCAATTGGGGTGGCTGGTCAGACCAGAGTTCCCCATCTGAACGCTGCTTGCAGGGTTTGTTTCAAACGAGACAGACTGGATAGGTCAGTAAGTCCAGCCCCGAGTCTCTACAAAGTGACCTTTGTGCAGTTGCAGGGGAATGAAGGAGAAGGAGGTGTGTGGCCTCTGGCTGAGGACCCACCCTGTCCAACTATGCTTTGCACCTGCAAGATGAGGTGGGGGTCATTGGACAGGTAAGGAACCCCAGGGCCCAAGGGAGTGCCTGGCAGCCTGTCAACCTAACCTCTCCCCCTCCCAAGTCTGTCTTGCTAGGAGTGCTCCTGGCCCCTCATTAGCTCCTCAGCCTCCCTGTCATGATGTCAGGCCTCCATCATTGGGCTCTTGTCAACTTCTACATGCCCTAGGATGCCACGTGGAATCTGCTCTGTCCTCTCAAACCTCCCCCCTTGCCTCCCTAAGCCTGCAGCTCCCCAGGACCTGCTGCTTCTCCTTTCTGCTCTCCTGACTCCCCGGCCAAGAGGCGTCAGTGTGCTCTGTGACAATCCCCAACCCCACCATCCACCCTTCTCCTGGAACTACTGAGCTCCCCCACCCTACCATTGTTCTGTGTTACATATAATCCAGGGGTATGCCTTACTATTTTACTGGAACATTCTGTCATAATTCACAGCTTTATCCATTGCTATACTCCAAAAACCTCAAACTGTCAACCCTCCCTCAAATTAGGCTGTATCTCCCAGAAGCAATTTCCAGGTCGGATTATTAAGGGTTTATTATCTTGATCCCCAGTGGCCACACTTCTGCTTGCTGGCTGCTGCCTCCAAAGTCCAAGATGGCCTAAATTCATTCCAGACTTCCTAGAACAGGAAGCACCCCATGGAATCAGGAGCTGTGGCTGGGATGGAATGTGCCATCCTTCAAGCCCTGTGAAGGTCATCGTCAGGGCATAACACGTCCATTTTCAAGCTCTCTCCTGTCTGTTCAGCCATGTTGTCTCTCAAATCAAATCACCACGTGTGATCTGCATCCCCAGCTCTCTGGGCCCATCAGCTGCAAGAGAATTCTGATTACAGTCAGCACATAGGACGGAACATGAGCTTCCAGCAACACACTCACCTACGCTGGTGATGTACAGTGGGAGCCAGAAGAGGAATGTGTAGCTGACCAACTTAGCGAACAGCAAGCACAGAGAGAACTCCATCACCCCCTGGAAGAGAGGGAGCGTGCTGGTGAACTCCAGGTGCGCGCCCAGCAGAGGCACTTCTCCATGCAACAGAATAAAGGCACTTCCTCTCCCATGAAGGCATCATGTCTCTGGAGTGGTTCAGCTCCCTAAGCTCACTTAGGGTTGGGGACGATCCTGGCATGTTGTGCAGGCCAGTGAGAGGACAAACTCACATGACAGCCCACCCAGAGACTTGCCTCACACAGCTGCCTTTACGATGGAAACCCAGTGTGTTTTCATCAGACCAGAGAAAATGAAAATGTGCACTGATTTGACTCTCATACACAGATCCATACTACTCAGAAAACTTCACTGTTACAGGAGATCACGCGCAGCACGGGCGTAGCAGGGTTATCTGGTCTCCGAGCATTAATGGCTATTTTGCTCCCTGAGACTGAAATTGTTGTAAATTATACAGTGGAGCCGGAAACACACCATCCTGACACTCGGTCAGACTGCTAGGCTACCGCACTCTGCCTGGGAATAGCACAGACCAGGGCATGCTGCAGATCATAAGGAACAGAGAAAGGCAGGAGGCAGTGAGGACATCCTGCCAGGCTGAGAGTGCCTGTTTGTGTAGAGGGGCATCTCTGAGACGGTTATTCCAGGTATCTTTTGGAAAAATGCCAGTGAGGATGGCAATAACACTGGGTGCCGTTTCTTCCCTCGTTCCCACACCGTGTGTGCACGTAATTGATTATATGTGATCAAAATGGAGTGGGATACTCAGTTTCTCCAAGCCATATTAAAATTAGATGAGTTGAGGCTGGGAGTGTGGCTTAGTGGTAGAGCACTTGCCTAGAATGCTCGAGGCTATGGATTCCATCCCCAGCACCACAAAACAACAACCAACAAACAAACCAGCCATATGGTGGTGTTTTCACAATTGGCGTGATGGTAGGAGGGGGGATGTGTGGTTTACTGCAGGCACAGAAGGATCTCCTGATTGTGCCCCTCTCCACAGCCTTTTTCTTGAATCTTCTTTATGCACGTGCCTGGCCATGAGCTCCAAGCTGGAATCAAATTATCCCATTGCATCCTCAGAACAGCTCAGAGCATTGTGCCAGGCACAGGGCCCATGTCACAGAGAGGTTGCTCCAGCATCTAGCTGGGCAGGGCCAGGACCAGGCTAGGAGTCTGCAGCCTGTTCTGTCCACGGTGCACTATGGTAAAACACTCAGATGCTGTATGCATCCTAACTGTAGCAAAGGCACTTGGGGCACTGTGCCACAGTCAGGCACAGCAGAACATTTGCAAGTTGGCCTTAAGAACACAATTTCAGAATAATTTCTATTTTAAATCCACATCTTCCACCAGCCAGCCTGCTGGGGTCTTTTCAGTGACGTGGTGCCCAGGCCTGGCTCCGGTCAGGCTGCAAGCCCAGTTTTCTCTGAGCCTCAGCAGCACCCCGTCCGGAAGCGGCAGCTGTCCTCGTCCTTCCCTTTCCTATATATGACATTAAGGTTCTGGGTTACACCATTTCCATGCCCAGCTATCATCTGCTCAGGGCCTTGGGCCCTTCTGGAGAGTGAGCGTCTTGTCTGGGTGGGAGAGCTTGCTGGTTTGCAGGCACTTGGCTGTTAGTGACATGGCTCCGTCTGGGCAGCCTGGCTCTCTGGCCACATGAGCAAGGTTGCTCTCCTGGACTCTGCTCTTGGCTCTCTGTCTCCATTGTCCTCTACAAGGGGAAGGGATGCACAGGAGGAGAAGAACTCTTCCACATCCTGGTAGCGCCTTACTCCATCCAGCAAGCCCATGAGTTTAACAAAAGAAAAACCGAAGGCACAGAGGCCTCTACCCATTGTGCCCCTCCCACCCCACCTACTCACGCAGCCTTTCTCCCAATCCCCTTTAGAACCAATTGGCACCCCAGGGCACAGCATGTGCCAGCTGACCTCAAGGATGGCCTGTGTAGACAAAGACCAAGTCCAGCCAGGGCACTGGCTGTGTGCTGCTCCTGGTCTCTGCCTACCTCACCTTGGCCTTCCCTGCTACTGGCAGGGCATTCACAGCCTCAGATCATGGCTGGGCTGCTGATGGCTCCTTAGGGGAGACGAAATGGAGCGGGCTCTCTGGGGCCATAGGACAGGACATGGGGAGGGGCCTCCCAGGGCCACACTCCAGGCCCTCAAGGCTGGGAGGCAAGAGTCCTCCCAGGGAGGGCTATGGCCACTAAGAAGGATGGGGGTCCCTTGTAGTATAGGCCTAGAGCAGGTAGATTTTCTGTTTTTTCAAGTGAAGACAGGAAGCCCCATTTGTTTATAAAATTTCTGAAGTTCTAAATGGAGAAAATAATTTCAAAATCCCAGAAACGGTATTAAGCAAACAGGAGCACCACAGCCACAGTGGCTCTGAGGCTGCTGAGTGCAATCTGGATCACCCTGTGTTCCCGATCCATGGAGTCCACAACCACGGGTTCTCTTTCAAAAGCCTGGGCTGACCGACAGTCCAGACTTCTCCCCACGGCGGCCTGGCCTCCCCAGGCACAGGGACTCACCGGGATCCTCAAGGCCCCTGTGAAGCTGATGGCAGCTGTGCTGCTCCCTCCATCACCCGGGGGGAGGACGACGACGTGGCTCGGGTGGAGAGCATTCTTCCCATCTGACAGCAGCAGGCACTGCATCTCGGGGTCCTGGACATGAGTCCCATCGAAAAGAAAAAGGACAGGCGTCACCTGGTGGATCTGGGGGAAGGGAGGCCGGAACTCGATTCTGTTTCCTCTAAAACTTTTGGGGACATCTGGGTGACACTGTCACCACAGTGATGACACCACAAGTGTTAGCATCCACCTGTTTTTATGAAACACTCTAAACCTACAAGCCCTCTATTTGTGAAATGTAAGTTGGAAAGTAAAAAAAATACTTATGCAACACAATGGATGTCACATCACTATGGAGAGACATGGGTCAGAACCCATCCATCGGAATGAGTGTCTCGTAGTTGTTAGGTGTTTGGAAGGCTTTGGTAACAAAGGACGACGCTTAGGCTATGTAAATAATAACATACTGGATTTCTGTTATTATCTCAAAGAATGTTTAAATGTCTACCTGCAGACCCAGGCAACCACAGGATCTATTTTTTAGAAAGAAATAAAGAAGCCAAAATCTAACCCAACCGTGGATGGCGCTGAGTGGTGGAAGTACACTTTTTTATGGAGATGTCAATAAGGAACTCATTATACAACCCTGTACTTTTTAAGGAGCTCTCAGTGAACAAGCATTACCAGAAACCACATGTTAAAATTCATAAACCAGTTTTGACATTTGGTGCTCTCTAACGTCGTGGACTTTCCTAAGGGATAAACTATCACTCACTAAAGCAAAGCAGCGTGATCCAGCTCTGCGTGGTGTTTCAAGCTGGAGCAAGGATGCTCCAAAACTGTTCTTCGTGACTGAGCTCTGACTCGCAAGGGCTTAAGTAGGAATGTGTTTCCGTGTCTTAGACTTTCCACAAAATCCAGCGGGGTTCATTATATTCATCTCACTATAATCTAAGTTGGATTCAAAATGCAGTAAAATTGTTTTTAAAAGATAAACAAATGAAGGTGCTATGCACTCCATATGCTACCCTTGATATTTAGAACTTTCTAGAGAACAGAAATTTGGAAAGCCAGTAGCAGCCACAACAACTGCAGTCCTACATAGGTGCTTGGCATCTGGCGTGTGACCTCAGGGTGACAGGACCCATGCCACCCAGCCAGGCTCCCTGATGAGGACATCAGCATCAGCGCAGTCTGTGGTTATCACCTTCACATCAAACCATAGGATCGGATGTCGGAATGAAGATAGCAATCAGGTGTGAAGGCAGACTGCCTTCCCAGTGCCCAGTCCACAAAGGCAGAGGGAAACAAAGAGCCAGGATTTGAGTTTGGAAAGTCACTTTCCTCTCACGATCGTGTGAGGTATCCAGTTTAGGACACTCCACCAGAGGTTCCCTACCCTGCTTCACACTGACTCTCCCGGGGACTTGGGATAGAGGCCCAGCTGCAGCAGTTCTGGGTGGCCCCAGTTCCCAGGCCAGTCCCTGGAGACCAAGCTGAGATCTGCAGGACTTCACAGGCCCTTTTCATCAGGGGTGAAATAGCACCAGGTAAAGAGCAGCTTCAAGTATAAGTAATCTGCTTGGCCAGTAGAGGAGTGGTCTTTGAGCTGGGGAGCAGCAGTCCCAGGTCAATCACAGGTGACAACCAGATTCCCTGGGGACATCCATGGCCCTGGCCCTTTCAGGTTTGTAAAGCACTCTAGATCACTACCTGCTGGACTGGCTTAAAGCTGCTTGTGAAGCAGGTGGAGCTCAGGCCAGGACTCCCAGCCTCCCCATGTCATTTGCAGTTAGGAGGAGACAGGAGTGTGAAGTTGTGGTAGATTTTCCGAGACAAACAAGGGACACTGCTGTCTCCTCCTTTTTTGCCAGGCCTGCAGCGGGGGCTCCAGTCTTGACCTCTCAACAAGCAGGTTCAGTTTGTGCGGAAGCCTGCTCCGGGCCTGTGGAGCCTGTGTAGGTGGGTGTGCGGCTTCTTCAGCTAAGCACTGCTCGAGGGCTTGTGCTTTCCAAGAGCAAAGTCTCCGTGCTGTTAAAAGGTGAATGAATCGAAAAGAAGCCCACGGAAACACGAGGGAGGAGTGGGCACAGCCACTGCTCGACAGTGGGAAACGCTGAGCTCGCCCCATCCCACGTGTCTGCACCACACAGAGGGAAGCTGCCAGGCCCCATCTCGAATGCAAGGTGCAGGCAGACCCACCCGAGCACTCAGGCCCACCGCGCTGGAGACACAGCCTATCAGAAAGAGAAGCCAGGAGAGCAAGCAGCTAGAGGATGGCAGTTATGATGAAAAGAGCTCGCCATGTGGCCTCACAACACCAGGGCCTCTGGCTCTTCTGGTATTTGCTTCCTCATCTGCTTTTGTCACTAAGCCATTAACAATCGTGCCTGGCATTGACAGAAGTGAGTGGTGCTGAGTGAAAAGCAGGGGAGGTCAGTGTCCAGAGGATCTGGGCTGGGTCACTCTGGGGTAAGGAACAATCAGGGCATCTTGCCAAGCTGGTGGACCCCTGGCCTTCACGCCCTAAGCCAAAGCCACAGACATGACGCAGGAGCCTGCTGAAGTGGATGCCAAGTGAGCAGAGCCACCCACTACCTGTCTGGTCCTGTTCCATGATGTCAGCCTGAAACAAGACATGCTGGGTTTCTAAACAGGTACCTGGTTCTTTGGTGGCATGTTGGTAAATAGATTTTCGTAGAAGGGACAGACGAGGGGAGAGGGAAGCAATACTCAGAAGCTGGGGCTAGTTTCACGGGTCAGTAACTACACTAGAACAAAGGGCCTGTGGTTTTTATTCGACCTTCAGAGTCACCAGAGGAACTGCAGCCAGTGGGATATTAAGATCTGAATAAAAAGATGGAGATTCAGAAATGAGCAGACATTCTAAAGCATTTCCGATGAACAAATTATTGCTTATATTCTCCCTAAAATCCAAGGGTGATATGCACAAAATGTCACCTGTCTCTCTTCCAATACTTCAACTGCTACAAATAAATCTCCCCAGGCATTAAAGAAAAAAAGCAAGAATGTGTGTAGTACATTTATCCTTTAGCAATTTTGTCCAAAAAGGAAAGAAAATTGCCAGGTGTGGTAGCTCACACCTGTAATCCTAGCTAAAGAGCAGAGATCGGAAGGATTAAGGTCCAGGCCCCAGCCCAGGCATAAAGTGAGGCCTTATTTCAAAAATAACCATAGCAAAAAGGGCTGGGGACATGGCTGCCTAACAAGTGTGAGACCCTGAGTTCAACCCTCAGTACCAAAAAAAAAAAAAAAAAAAGAAGAAAGAAAATAACATAATCCGTTGATTAAAACCAAATCCAACCCTCCCACCCCAAGGCTTGGTATAGTCAATGAGGCAGACATGAGGAATTCTGGGAAGAGTCTGAGAAGGAAGAGTGGCATGAAGGCTGGCAAGAGACTTCTGGGTCTGCCTTGGTTTTCCCTCTACTCCAGAGGACAAGGCAGAACTTAGCATCTCTGTGCCTCAGTTTCCTCTTCTGTAAAAGGGGAGAGTGGCAAAGGATGACTCCATGACTTCTCTATGTTACCTTGTACACCCAGCACCCAGTGGACTCCCTGCCTGACACCCTCTGCCCAGAACCTGCAGACCTCCCTCCCGGGGCCAGTGACCACAGAACTGCTCACCAGCTCCTGGTCCCGGCACTGAGGGCAGAAATCTCTACTCACTTTGCAGCTGTACCCACCTCTCGACACCCACCAACCTAGAATAGCACTGGCAAACAATTGTTGACTGAATGAATGGCTTTCAAATTTGATTAAAATAAGTTTAGCTTATTCTCCAAAGGAAGCCAACAAAAGTATACTCAAATTCTACTAAAGAAATGCGATGACAGCCTGGATGTCTCTTGTACATATTTCTGAGGCAGAGGGACAGACATACAGCCTGTTTCTGCATCTGTAAAGGCACTGTGCCAAGTGGAAGCCACGGGTCACTTACCAGAGGCCTGTTCTTTTCGCTGTGTAAGATTTGCTTCTGTATTCTAAATCTGTTTGTACCGTTCTCATAGCCTTTTGAAAGCTGGGAGAAAAAAGTTTAGTTAGAACGATGACTGAATCAACGGCCAAAATCAAGCCTGACTTTACTATAAGCAGTAATGCTAGTTCTGACATCACAAAAAAACTACCAAGAAAAAAACGATTAAAACAATGCACTGATTAGTCCAGCTGCAGGTTCTAGGCTCTCAGGCAACATAATAGTAAGAACTGGCCAAGACAAAGGTGTAAAGAGATAGGAGAGTGCCAATTATGGCATTCCTTAATGACTTTCACTTTCTTTGATGGTTTGAAATGGCCTCAGAAACAAGCAGGCCAGTACTGTTAAAAGCCATCTGCAGATGCAATGCAATCCCCACCAAAATTCTGATGACATGCTTCACAGAACTAGAAAAAACAATCCTGACAGTCATACAAAAGGTTAAAAGACCCCAAATACCCAAAGCAGTCCTGAGTACAAAGAGCAATGCTGGAGGGATCCCACTACCCAATTCAAATTATACTACAAAGCCACAGTAACAAAACCAGCACGGTACAGGCATAACAACAGACAGGTAGATCAATGGTAAGAACAGAGGACCCAGAGATAGGCCCATGCAGCTCCAGCCATCTGATTCTCAATAATGGTGCCAAAAAACACACATTGGAGAAGAGACAGGCTGGTCCTGAGAAAACTGGAGACTGACCGAGACTACACCCTTATGTCTCACCTTGTACAAAAATTAATTCAAAATGGATCAAAGACCTTAACGTAAGACCGAGACTACACCCTTATGTAGTCAAGTCCAATTAATTCAAAATGGATCAAAGACCTTAACGTAAGACCTGACCCTTTGAAAGTATAGAGGAAGACACTGGGGAAACACTTCAAGACGTAGGTAGAGGCACAGGTAATGATTTTCTGAATTTGACTTCAACAGCTCAGGAAATAGTAGCAACAATTGACAGATGGTATTGCATGGAATTAAAAAGCTTCTGCACGGCAAAGGGAACAACCACCAAAGTGGAAAGACAATCCACAGCTTGGGAGAAAATCTTCATCAGCTGTTCATCTAACAGGGGATTAATACCCAGAATATAAAGACTCAAAAGAATTAAATACCAAAACCCAAGTAATCCAATCAATAAAAGGGCAAGTGAGTCAAACAGGTACATTTCAAAGGAAATGTCAACAGTTACTTGAAGAAATGTTCGACACCTTTAGCCAGCAGGGAAATGCAAAGCAAAACTACACTGAGATTCCATCTCACCCCAGTCAGAGTGGCTGTCGCCAAGAAAACAGACAAATGCTGGCCATGCCGTGGAGGGGAGAGCTTGTGAATTAGTGTAGCCACTATGGAAATCAGAAGGGAGGTTCCTCAGAAAACTAAACAGGCTGGGAGCAGTGGGTCATGCCTATAATCCCAGCTACTAGAGAGGCAGAGATCAGGAGGATCGCAGCTTCAGACCAACCTGGGAAAAAATTTAGCAAGACCCCTTCTCAACAAATAAGCAGGGCATGTGGTGTGGGGGTTTGTTATCCCAGCTGCTCAGGAGGCAGTAGGTAGGAGAATCACCAGACTGAGGCTAGACCCTGGCAAAAACAAACACAAAACCAAAAACCCCCACAAGATCCTATCTGAAAAATAACGAAAGCTGCCAGGCTCCAGGGCTCACGCCTGTAATCCTAGCTACACAGGAGGCAGAGATCAAGAGGATTGTGGTTCAAAGCCAGCCTGGGAAAATAGTTCTGCAAGACCCTATCTCAAAAAAAAAAAATAAATAAATAAAAAAGGACTGGTGGAGTGGCTCAAGGTGAAGGCCCTGAGTTCAAACCCCAGTACCACCAAAAAAAAAAAAGAAAACTGAAACAAGAAGGGCTGAGTGTGTGACTCATATAGTAGAGTGCTTGACTAGCAAGTGGGAGGCCCTGAGTTCAAACCCCAGTACTACCAAACAAACAAACAAATAAATAAAACCTAAAAAACTAAAATAGAAATTTCCTGTGATCCTGCTATTCCATTCCTGGGTTTGGTTCCCAGAAGGAATCAAGGTCAGCATACAACAGAGACACACCCATGTTCCTTGCAGCACCGCTCACGGTTGCCAAGCTATGGACTCAGCCTCGGTGCCCATGAACTGATGCATGGACAAAGAAAACGTGGTGTATATACACGATGGAGAAAAGGAGAACGAAAGCCATCAAGAAGAATGATGAAAGCATGTCATCTGTTAAGATCAGGTTAAGAGAAATGAGCCTGATTCAGAAAGACAAGTACCCCATGTTTTCTCTTGTGTGCAGAATCTGGGAGGTGGAGGGGACATGGAAGTGGAAGGGGGACTATGTGGGAAGAGGAAGGAACCAAGGGAAGGGGGATGGGTGACCAGGGACGGGAAAATGGGAGGGGGGTGAGTATGTGATATGCACGCATGACAATGTCAAAAGGAAACCCATTATGTTGTATAATTAATATATGCTAATGGAAAAAGAAATCACGCTCGGGCCAGGTTTTTCTCTCACAGGTGAGGGACACGGTTCCTCTTGGTCAGCCAGTTGAGTGGGCGGGAAGAAAATCTGTGGTCCCTCAGGTCCCCACAGACCTGCAGGCCCGGGTCAGGAGTGAAAAGTCGCTTCACAAATCACCCCCTGGTACTAAATGGAAAGATGAGAAAATGAAAGCAGGTCTTGGCCACTGAGAAGAAGGTGCCATCTCCTGTGCACGCTCTCTAAACTTAGGAGGCCCTCGGCTGGAGGTCTGTGTTGTCACAAGGCCCACGACAGGGAGAGCTGCATGTTGGCTCTGCTCTGCTCGGATGAGCAGCTGGACACACGTATCTGCACTGAGAAACAATGGCCCCTGAAAAGATGTCTGGGGCTTCGGAGGAACTTCTGACTAAGAACTGTGAGTGAAACGAGTCTCTTTTCTGAAAGCTCACCCAGGAAAGCTTTGCCCTCCCAAGGTCCTGAACACTTGCTCCTGTGTTTTCTCCTGAGAGCTCTACACCTTTGCTCATAATTCAGCCTCTGATGCACTGTCGTTGTGGTGTGGTGTGGACAATGCACTGGACACTGGCTGTCCTGGCACCACGAGTCAAGACCATCCTGACCCACTGAGCTTCCATGTGAGGGTTTGTTTTGGACTTTTCAGTTCATCCACTGCTGAACCTGTCTGTTTAACAACCATCGTAAGTGACAGTGCCCTGCTCTTAGCCACCACAGCTTTTCATTTTATTTTTTTGGCAGCACTGGGGTTTGAACTTCAGGGCTTGAGCCACTCCCCCAGCCCCTAGGTCACTACAGCTTTGCAGTAAGTTTTGCAATCAGGAAGTTCAAATCCTCCAACTGCTCTTTTTCAAGATGATTTTGGATATTCAGGAGTTCATTATACTATTTTTAAAAACATTATATGTTTTAAAATTTCTATAACAAAAACTTTAAAATACTAAAAAATAAGAACTTCATCCTGAAAATAGCGCTTCTGAATGAGAACTTGGCAGAACACAGCTCCTTCAGAATAAGCCAGCACATCTGAAGGGGGCCTCCTGAGGCCTTCTGTTCAACACATGAGCTCTGAGTGTGACAGGGCAGACACAGAGGGGTGGTGGCAGATGGGGGTGGGCCAAGCTTGCCCTCTGGAAGGCTGGGACAAGACTGTGACAAGGGGTTACGCAGCATGGATGGCTCTCAAGAAAGAGAACTTTTGGCTTTCAGCAGCTGCTCATGCAATGCTCCCCAAATGGGCCAGCCTCTGCTATGTGACAGAAAGAGGGGGAGAGAGAGCCAGCGAGAGAGGAGGAGGAGGGAGGGAGGGGGGGAGAGAGAGAGAGAGAGAGAGAGAGAAGTAGGGGGGAGAAGGAAAGGGGAAGAGGCATTATTCCCTTGGCCAGCCTGCTATGCAGCGCCCTGGGGCAGTTGGGCTCCAAAGGACCTCGGTGAACTGCTCAGACAGGAGCCGAAGAAGAGAGAATAAAGTCGAGCTGCAGCCCAAGTCCACGCACACCAGTGGCGGGAACAATGCCTTGTGCTCTACCCACTGTCTGCACTTTTAGAGCTGGCCATGAGGAGGACAGCCCATTCCCAAAGCTCCCTCCTGCCTGCCTGTTTCCTGCCCCCAGGCCCAGCCATGCTGGATGGGAGGAGTCCTCATCAGAGGGGCAGGAAGCATCCAAGTTTTCCCAGCTCCATGCCAGCTCTCCGGCTTACCACCAGCTCACAGGGCACAAGGGAAAACTGGAATTCCTGCCATGTGGCTATGGCTTTGAGAACATTTTCAACTCTCAATTGTAATTTAAAAAAATCATACTGTGTTTAGCCTTCTAGAAAGCAATGGTGTTCTTTTCTTATTTTTGTTTGATCAAGTGCCAGAATCCTTTTCAGATGAATCGTAGGCAGAGAGGCCCATGGGTGGATTAAGGGGTGGCAGGACGGGGCTCTGGCGTCCTCTGCTGCCCAGTGTGGGCACTGCTGCAAGCCAGCTCAGCAGGGATCCTATGGGATCTGCCTGCAGCAGGGCAGGGTGGGTGGACAGGCAGGAACATCTTATGTTGAGTGAAGTGGGAGCTGCTGGGCGATGTCAGCCTTTGTAGGTGAGCTGGAGAGAGATCGGAGGAGCAGAGAGGCCTTTCCCAAGTTAGCAAGCAGGAGCTTAGAGGAGAGGGAGGTCATATGATTGTGGCATGGGAGAGGTGACAAAAGGGTGTCCACTCTGCAACCACACAGAGGATTGGACTGAGGGAGGAGGAACTGGGAGGTCCCTGGGGGGGGTCTGTCTTGTCCATACGAGGTCAAGGATCCCCTGGCTAAGATGGGGAACACCAGGGATCAGTGTGGGGTGGAGTCAGGAGGTCTACCCTAGTTTACAAAGCCATGGGAAGGTCGAGTGGTTAAAGGACTGTGGAGCTTGGGGGAGAGGACCAGGCTGGGGACATAAGTGTCAGTGACATGAAAGAACTGGGCCATGGCTGGGCACTCCCACATGAGGTCTGCACAGGCATGATATGCATGTTATAAGGAACCAGGAAAGCATGGTCACCAGACGTCAAGGACAGCTAGCACTCCACGGAGGGGAGGAACAGCTGGATCGAACATGGACCTGGGCCAGGTGGGGCAAGCCTGGAGTGTGGCTCGCACCGTGCGGTCAGATCATGTTACTGGGCACCATGATGGCCAGTTCAGGGAAGAGTGGAGGCCAAGGGAGGAGGAGAGCCCCCAAGGGAAAACATGGAGGGCTGCCTGGGGCAGAACATGGGGTAAGGATTTTGTTCAGTGCAATGACTGATGCAGATGACGCAGAGAAGCTTGGGGAGGGCGACTGCAGGAGGCAAGTCTTCAAGACCACAAGAGGGGAGGGAACAGTTGCTAAGGGGGCTGCCCTTCGGTGGGATGGTGACTGAAGAGGGTAGGGGGACAGAGGACACAGCCAGAAGGCAGCAGGGCAAGCGCTCTCGTGGGAACTAAGCTGTGGCCATCCCGACAGCAGGACATTAACAGCTGAGTGGGTACAGAGGCAGTGTGCAGTTAACCTGACCAGAGAGGGATGGTCAGCATGCTGGGCCGACCTGATGGCCACCCGAGGCATGTGGCCACCAGTTTAATGTGACGTTGGCTGGCTCACCTGCGCACTTACCTCCCATCACATGAAGGCCCCAGGGGAAAGCCAGAGGCCCCTCCTGGGGAGAAGGCCTAGCCAGGCCTGGCCTCCGATCCCAAGTGAGGATGCCCTCTCTTGCTTGGGTGTCAGGGACGAGGCTATTGTCAGCCCTTCCTAGACTGCAGTGTGGCTGCATAGGTCTGAGCTGGCCTCAGGCACCTGGCCAATCTGTTTGAGAAGGTGGTAGAGATGGGGTGAGTCCTTACCGTGGACAGGGTGGTGGAGCACCTGATGTCCTTTGGATCTGAAAGAGCAAACAGGAGACAGTGCTGAGTCCCACAAAGCAAAGGACCTCACCAGATCCTGACCAACTCCACAAGAGAGCCAGGGGCAACAAAACCGTGCTACAGTTGTGATTCTGCTAGCTGAGGAATTTTAGCTGTTCTTCCCATAAAACCAAAACCAGGCAGGGAACCGGGATGTGAGGGACGAGTTGACCGGTGTCACTATTGTAACCTTTTCGCCTCCCATAACTCCATGTCCCGTGCATTGAGCACACACAGCACTTACTTTACGAGAAGGAAATGATGCCATCGTAGGCTTTTACGAAATGAGCAGAAAGTCTAAGAGAAAGGACCCTGCCGAGGTCAGGTGTCCAGCGAGGTGACGGTCAGCTTGGCTCCCTCCCTGCAGCCACATGTGCCCCTCCTTCACCTGGTCACCCCACTGCTATTGCTGTGTGGAAGAAGGTTATGGTAGGGTCAGGTGCCAGGTGCCGTGGACAGGGACAGGACTTCGGACGTGAAGAATACCTTGCAGCGTGGGCAACAAGTCCAAGCACTGTCAAGGCTGACACGCGCACGGCACACGGAAAGGCCAACTGTCATGAAATGTGTGTCAGAGCAGTGAGGTGAGGGTAACAGTTGTAATGAATAATTCTGAGGAATTCCTCCGAAGTAAAAATTAGTGGAGACAGATCTCTCTCTCTCTCTAGTTCCAGGGCCTCAAACGTAGCTCAGGCTGACCTCAAACTCACGATCCCCTTGCCTTGGCCTCTGAGTTTTGGGACGCCACATAAGCACCACCACGCCCAGGAAGGTGTCTTTCTTGAAAGGGGACAAAGTGTCCATGCAGAAGCAGGAAGGAGGAGGTACACAAAGGCAGAGACCAGAAGCTGACTCCGTACTGTGACTTTAAACACACAGCAGCAAGTATGAGTGAGGGAGCAGCGTGGGGACCAACAGCTGGAAGAGGCTGGTGTTATGCAGCCCCTGCGGCATCTTGAGGCTCCAGTGGCACCTTTGCACACGGCTCTGCTTCATCCTTCTGACCACTCAGAGTCCTGCCTCCTTAAAACCTTGGTGAGAGTTCACTGCCCTAAACACAAACAACAGAGGGCCAGAAGCTTCCCACACACAGTTCAAGAGCTGAGGCCACGGACCAGGGACATGTGGTTCTGCGGTAAGTGGTCTCCATGGTCCACCTGTGATGTGCGGTCACCAATTTAAGGTGACATGGGTGAGTCTCCAGTTTGTCTCCTGTCACACACACAGTGACATCCCCTGGAGTAAGTTACACTGTGACAACCCGTGCAGTTTACATAGGCCCTACAATATGATTCTTCCTGCACTTCACCTTGAGGGAGGGCACAAGCACACACTTGCCTTGGCTGGGACACATCCAAAGGCAGCTCCATAGAGCGGACCCAGAGAGGCCCCAGTGAGGCCTGGTATCCTGACCCTGGCTCGGTCCTGGCCAGGAGGGAGGAGTGAAAGAGCAGGAATGAAAACCCTGTCCACCTCTGCTGGGCATTTGGTGAAGTCAGTGCCCACGCACAGTCAGAGATCAGAGACACAGCAGGAACAGGGGCACCAAGGTCCCACTGCATTTCCTCTCTATGTGCAGGTTCCATCCCTAGATCAAGTGTGTCTTCACACTCACAGCTGACTCCTGGACAGGAGATTCTGCTGGCGACAATAGCAGGCAGCCCTCTTGCACCAGCTATGTCCTGTGGACACAGTGGACTTGGGGATGTTTGGGTCACTGCACCCGCTCAGGTGAGCCAGAGAGGTCTCACTTACAGGAGCCCCCCCCCCTCAGGTCCAGTGGGGAGTCAGCAGAAGTGGGCTCTGGAACCCAGAAGCCAGGCTCTCTCTGCCCAGAGATGAGTATCAACACTGGAGCCTGGAGACCAGTGGGAGATAGGGCTTCCCCCAGGAGGTCAGGTAAAGTGGCCACCTCAGAAGAGAGAACACACAGGCAAGCAGCTGGGGACCTCACCAAGGTAAGAAGTGTGGACAGAGCGCCCTATCACCCATGGCTCTGAAATGACAGATGCAAGGGACAACCCCCTGGAAGGTTCTGGGCTCCCCAGACAGTTGGACAGGGCTGAGTTGGAGGTCAGGGATATAGTGAGGAAACAGGGCTCCCTGCTGAAGGGTAGGGGGCACGGGGATGGGGATGGGGTGTGGGAGTAATGGGGAAGTCACAGTATTCACCAGCCCTCTCTGGATCCCTGGGGACTCATCTGAACTCCAAAGCCCTGGGTGGGAAAGGAAGGAGCTGGAGCCCAGGGGCTCCATCCACTCTATCGATACCACAGATGTTCAGACATGCAGAGAAGGGCAGGTGGGGAAAGGGATGCAAGGCGTGGAGGACGAGGTGGCTTGGACTGGCTCAGACGTGACCTGATGGGCTGTGGCTGGGGATGGCGTGTGTCCAGGAGGCCTAAGACAGGTGCTCGCTGAGGATGGATTTTTTTGTCCTCATAATTGAGGCCAGAAAGAGGCCCACGGAGCAGAAGGGTGGTGGCCGGGGAGATACTGCTGGGCAGCACTACTCAAAGCCCAGCAATGCTCAGATGCTTAGGAAAGAATTCCCTCAGTTCCTGAGAGCGATCTTTCACCCTGGGCTCCTGGGCCCAGGTTTGACAAACGCTGACTTAGAAAATAACTTCTATTGCAGGAAATACCTTTCAAACGCCTGTGACCTCTGTGACAGATGTATAAGTGGAATCCAGGAGAACCCAAGGTGTTCATGGCTGAGGATGGAGAAAGTCCAAGCGGGGACCTGCAGTGGCCCCACCCACTCCACCGCATCCTAACTGCTGGGCCTTGGGTGGGTGGCACAGCTCCCCAGCTTCAGCCCATCCCTGAGCTCCTCGCCCTTCAGAGTGGGTGTGAGAGTCTGAAAGAAGATCTCAATTCCAAGGCAGGGAGCAAGGCCAATTTCAGATTTCCATGAAGAGGTGGACTTGACCTCAGAAGCATGGCTGGCACCCAACAGGGGAGTGCAGGAGAGCAGGGATGCCATGGAGCCATCTAGAACCATGCCCTGGAGACAGCCTCAGCAGAGCACGAGGAAGAGAAACGCTGCCCGGGCCATGTGCCCAGGACGGTGAGCTCTGGGACAGGTGGGAGAGACCAGCTGTCCCAGGGAAGTGCTCAGGGGATGCAGAGGTAGCAGGGGACCGATGAGACAGACTGGTATGAACTGGGGACCTGTCCCCCCAGTCACAAAAAGTGCATGGGAGATCAGGAATAGGGCAGGGATGTAAGGACCAGAAGAAATTTCTGGCAGTATAATGAAGAACAGGAATAGTGAGTTTTAAATAGACTCAGACAATCTTCAGTATATTAAGTAATGATGACTAATAGCTAATGTTATGTGTAAGAAAAGTCTCAGGAATTGCAGGAAGCTGACCAGTAGAGAAAGGAGGAAGGAAATCCCAAAGCCGGGCCTGGGCCCCATAGCACCACCTCCCTGACCTTGGGCCCCAGGACACCTTGGTCAATGCTAGTGAGCAGTCTTCCCTTTCTGAGCCACGGAGCACAGAGGAGGCAGGAGGCTCTAGAGAAAATCTACCAGAGAAACCCGCAAGACAGGGTCTCCTGGCTTCAAGGGCCAGTGGGCCTGAGGAGCTGAGCTGCTTTTCTGACTAGTGTGCAACAGTGAAAACTGCCCCAAGGCCACAACAGTAATGGGCGTAGGGCCAGCAGGTTACCCAGAACAGAAGGCCCTAGGGAGCCCGCTGGGCAGTCCTCTTAGCCTCGCCAGCCCTATCCTCTTCCAGGCACAGGAGTGGGGGCTCATAGGAAGAAGGCTCTAGTTTGATCATGAATGACTAAACTGGAGCTTCACTGTTCTTGGCAGTCCTGCCCTGAGTGGGGACAATGCCCCATCCAGGATGACTGAGCTACATCAGTGAGTACCTACTCTCCTCCTTCCCCCAGAACCAAGCCCTTCATCAGTTGAGGAAGAAAACCAGTCCATGTGGCCATTCCACCTGGGCAGGACATACCCAGGGCCCCTGAGTTCCAGTGAAGAGGAAGCACACTACTCCCTAGTGACTGAACAGGAAGAACACCTGGGGGAGCAGAGGAGATAGGACCCAGGTGTTGGGTGCCAGCGTGGCACGAATGGCCTTTCCCAGAACTCTCATGACATGCAGACTAGTTAGGTGCCAGACGTGAGTATGTTAGTACAGGAGTCACCAGACTCCTGCCCGTCCCACTGTGCACTTGCTCAGGCCGGTCTACCATGCTGGCTACCAGAAGCTTCCTCTGCCTTGGAAGAGCATGGTGAGATAGGACCATGCAGCAGCCCACACTGCTCATCCCCTGTCCCCTTGGCTCCCACAGCGCGTGGTGCCTGTGAATTCTGTATCTGAATGTCTGCTTCCATTTTCACCCACACAGAAGGTCAGCATGAGAACACACAACCCTAGCTTGGCTGAATTAGAGGACTGGCTTGAGCAGCAAGAAGAAAAGGAGAAACCACACGCACTTCTTGGATAAGGATGCTGGAAGGTCTGAGTGCAAAGTAGGGGTTCCGTGAGGGCCCTGTGTGTGCAGAGGAGGCCGATGCCAGGCCCCACCCAGAGCTCATGGAGGGGCCTGTCCTGCCACACCAGCACCATGGCATTGTATTTTGCTCCAAGCCAAATCAAAGAACTAAGTGCCAAACGTAACACGAGAACAGCTTGCGGGATTACAACAGCCTGGCTTCTCTATCACAGTGTGGCTGCCCAAATCCTTGTCCTGCCGGATCTCTACTTTAAAAATCATTTTCAAAATCAGTTAAATCATAAGTTTGGTGTTGACCCTGGAAAGGAACAAGGAACCTGATTTTCCAGTAGACACCATACCTAATTAAGAATTATGGCCTTCAGTCACACCCTGGTTTTATAACATTGTCTAAGCGCTAGCTTATCAGGAAACAAGCAAGCTGGCAAGGCCCATCTGCGTTTGTGCAGGTGGACTGGGGTGAGTGGGTACAGCCACGTAGGCAGGGCCTGCACCGCTGGGCATAAGCACTGCAGCAGGCCCTGGGAAGACAGGTGACTCCTGATGCAAATGCTAAGGGAAGGTCAGGGGCAGGGAGAATGAGGACGAAAAGATTTCCACAATGGTCACTTGCAGACAATCTGGCAAAACCAGGAGAGAACTGGCTACCTGGGAAATCTGTGGGTGAACAAGGAGGTCCCAGGGACAGCCAGGATGACAATATGCAGTCACAGTACTGCAGGGCAGCCCTTGCTCCTGACTCACCCCTGAGGCCTCCCTGCAGGTGAAAGCCAAGGCCTCTCAGTGTGACATCCCCAGGGCCATGTGTACTCACGTTCGATGAGAAAGAGGAAACACACTATCCCCATAGCTGCCACGATGGCCCCAGGCACAATGAAGGACAGGCCCCAGCACGTGGACACCCAGTAGCCAGCAATCAAGGACCCCAGAATGTTGCCCACGGAGGTGTGGGAGTTCCAGACCCCCATAATCAGACCTCGCCTACAACACAAGGCAGGACAGGAAGTGGTGCTTAGAGGCTGACATGGGACCGTTCCTTCAGGGCCACAGTGCCCACAGCGTGTCAGTGGGGTGGAAACAGGTCAACGAGGCCCTGCAGCTACGGCTGCAGCCAGAGGTGGACTACAGAGGTTTACAAGAGAGCTGGGTTTTTGGTTTGCCTCAGGCTGTATAACCACACGTTCCAGTTCTTGCTCAGAGCTCACTTCTATAACTGAAAAGAGAAATGAGGACTTTTCCTGAAATTCTTGGAAGGCCCAGGATTTAAATTTGTGCCTCCACAACCAAAACCCAGTCACTTGATAACTACCAGGTTGACAGGAACGCGTGTTGGTACACACGCCAGATGACTGAGGCAGCTTCTAAATTAGGCTCCTGAGCTTGTTTCCTATTTTGGCTCACACGCCTTGTGTGGCATCTTCTAGTTACTTAGCCCTCAGCCTGGCTGGGCCGGGCCTCAAGTGACTCTGCGCTGCCATCAAATCACCAGAGCCGGGCCCATTCCTGCTGCTTATGAGCTGGGTGACCTGGGTCAGGATGTCCCAAACTCCCATGTTAAACTGTGGACTTGGCTCTAAGGAGCTGGGGGTGGGGCCCTGGACCCACCATTTCCCACAAATTCCCTGGAGGCCAGGTGGAGTTGCGCAGCTGTCAGGTGTGCAGTCCAGGGGACACCCACTGCACCTCCTCACACCATGGCAGACTGGGCTCGGCCCACCTGCAGGGCATGGCACCATCTGAAGTTTAAAACCTCCAGTCTGGAGGTTTCAGCATCTTACTCCAAAGAGGAGCCTAGTTAAAGTATTTTTCTGAAGTGAGCCAAAAGAAAAGCCAAAAATAAAGAGGTCTGGTTTTCATCAGAATCTTTAAAGGAAATAAACAAGGTTGGAAACAGGGCCGCTTTTTCTCACCTTCCTTTTCCAAACCAGTTGCCAAGGCAGGTGACAACACTGGGCCAGCCGGTGGTCTGCACCAGTCCATTGATGATCTGCGAGAGAGAAGAGAAGGCTCACCACCGAATAGCCTTGAGGCCATGAGGGTGTCCCTAGGGAAGCTCTGGGCTGCTTCCTGTCCTCGTAGCGTGGGTTCACCCTTGGGTCTCCACAAAAGCAGCAGTGGTTCATGTAAGTCTGGACAGCTGAGGACAGAGTTTAAATTTTATGTATGAACTGTAAAATGTATGAAAGACCAACCTAAGCCAGGACCCGCAAGAAATGCTGCTACTGACATTCGGCCCTGAGGTTTCTAGGCACTTTTCTTCTTTTTGTAGAATGTGTTCTAAATTGCACTACAAACATGACCTAGAAATGGCATGTCTTCCCTGACTGCACACAAAGAAGGTTCTGTTGATCTTCTCTGAAACAAGCATATCCCGAACCTGGACTGGGACATGTACTGCACAAGGGACAGAGCAGGTGTCCCCAGAACTGGGACAGCTCTGTGAGGCTATGGGAAACAGCACAGCCCAGTGTCTGGTCAGTCTTGCTGGACCTCAGTGGGTTCTCAAGAAGACATAGGGGACAGTGGGTCCACCTGCTGCTGGCCCCGGGCTGGCCAGGCTCAGCCTTTATTCTAGGAATGTGTCAGGATTCTGGTGGGGATTTTGCATTCCCTTCCTTCTAATTGTCTGTATTCTGAGGCTTTTGCACCTAAGCAGTCAAGCAACCGCAGAACAAAATGTAGTCAGGCCAGAATGACTGTGTCTATGCTGAACACTACAGCTTTTCCTTGTCATTGTTGCCAGCAGGGTAACGACTAGGTGTTGGGTGTTATAAGTCACCTGGAGCTGATTTACCTCACATGGAGGATGTACCCAGGCTGTACGCAAACCCTCTGCCATGGAATGTAAGGGACCTGAGCGGCCATGAATTTGGTATCCACAGGGGTCCTGTAGCCCATCCCCCCACAGCTGCTGAGGGACAGCTGTATACAAGTATGAAGCACTTCTGTAATAAAACAGCTAAGTAATTTGCTTTGATTTTATGACAGTCTCCCTAGGCTATTTGGAGAGGCTTGGAAGTGTCACAAGCCAGCAAGGCAGCATTATTTCCGTTGCCAGTCAATATTTATCCACAGGACTGCTGGGAAGGGCAGAGGTAAAGAGACTGGGGAAGGGTTGGGCCCAGAGAGGAGGGTGAGGCACGCCACTCCCCTCCCAGTACTCTCTGGATCGCCTTTCCCCCCAGGCCACTGCCTCAAACCCCCATCCTGCTGCCGAGGACTCCAAAGCTGTCCTTCTACCCTCGTCACACCTTAGCCCCCGAGCTCCCAAGTGTCCAAATCTGTTTCCAGTTTCTAGAGAGAACATTTCAAGCTCTTCCAGGTGCAGGGACAGAGTGGACTCCTAAGGGCCTCATGCTTCAGAGCCCGGCTGAGGGACTGACACACAAGCTTTTCTGATGGACTTTATATGCCGGCTGACACTGACCTCAGATGGGCCCCATTCTGCCCCCTCGCCAACATGAACACTCTACCCTGTTCATCATGGCAAGCTGAGGGTCCAGACCCTTACCTGAGTCACCACGTAGAACCCCAAGCTGTGGATGTTGTAGAAATACCCTAATCCAAATAGGGCAGTGAAGGCTCCGCTGGCGAGCATTCCAAAAGTTAGGTAATATCTGATCGGCAGGCGTTCCCCTATGATACCGCTGAGGGTGGAGGAGAGGAAAAACAAATAAGGATGCAAACACACCCACTCTCAATGCGACGCGTCTCCCGGCCATGTCCACGCTGTTCACTGAGCTTTCTGAAATCCAGAGCACAGCCATTTCCATTAAGATAGAACAGGACCACCTCTCCCTGGGGCACACTCACCCCACATGGCCATGGGTGATTTCTAGTAAAAGTCATCAACTGTCAGTCAGATAAAGGCATACGCTGTGACTTACCTAGGATAGCTGCCCATTAAATTACAATGAAACTTGCCCTGCTTGTTAATCCTGCTTTTATGTACTCAGTTAACATTCATACTCACTTAAAATTTCAACTATCAAATTACAGATGCATGTCACGAAAGGGGATCACTGAGACCCTGAGCGAGTCCTTCACCCCATGAGCTGGGACTGAGCTGCCTGCTGTAACAAAAACAGTGGGCCAGACACTCAGGTGCTCTGCCAGTCACCTCCTGTCACCAGCACTTTCACCTGATTTAAAGACAGAAGGGAACCAGGCACCGCTGGCTCACGCCTGTAATCCTAGCTACTTAGGAAGGAGAGATCAGGGAGATTGCAGTTCGAAGCCAGCCTTGGCAAATAGTTTACGGGACCCTATCTTGAAAAAATCCATTGCAAAAAAAAAAGACTGGTACAGTGGCTCAAGGTGTAGGCTCTGAGTTCAATCCCCAGTACTGCAAAAAAAGAGAAAAAAAAAAAAAAAAGACAGAAGGGGCAGGGGATGTGGCTCAGAGATACAGCACTTGCCTATAAAGGTCTGCAACCCTGAGGATGAATCTCTCCAGTCCCTACAGCGCTGACCCGACTCAGGACAAGCTAATGTCTTTGGAGTGTTTCCTTCCCAAGCTGTTTGGGAAGAGGAACACACAAACGCTTGGCACAAGATGGAGACTCTATCAATAACCAGGAGGGTGGTGGCGAGTGCTCGTTCTACAGCAAGGCAGATGGGAGCAGGTTGTAACACCAACCTAAGACACCTTATGCAGAATGCCCCTGATGAGCCACTGTGACTTCAGTGAATACAAAAGCCGCAGACACCACACATGGTGTGAACCCTCTGCCATCACTAAAAGCCACATGGCTGTCACTGTCTTCCACATAATCACACAGGTGTCCGATAAGCATGGACTGAGCTGCAGAGGGATACTGCCTGCCCATGGGCAGCACTGTGGAGTCAGCTATGGTGTTTCACCTTCCTCTGTGAGAACCGGCACGTGGGAGTTTCCCTTCTGAGCTTACCAAGTAAGAAAGATCTACCCAGGATGGCACAAATGACCCTCAAACACTAAAACAGAAGTCATTTAAAATTACAAAGCCTATTTAGGTCAAATGCTCAGACAGCAGGACCTAAACCACATGGCACAAGAGCTCAGAGAATCGTCCACTTCAGTGTGCTCACATGTCATCAAAGGTTAGGAAACACATCCCAGAGAGGCTGGCTGACCTGCTAAAGGCATCATCAGATGGGCTTCTGGAGCTGCTGTCATCAGGGAAAGCCCAAAAAGTATCCTCCGGTGTTGCTACACAAACTTGGACCCCCACCCGAACTTCACTCGAAAGATCGAAAGAGCAGGTCTACCGGAGTGGCCACCGTTCCACATTATACCAGACTCAGACAGCAACTCAGGTCCATGTGGCACCCACCTGACCCTGCCAGGCATGGCCTAGGTTAGTGGACATGCCCACCTGGTACACAGAATGACACAACAGCACTGTGGCGTCCTTGCCAGTAGGCAAGCTGGCCTCGAGCTGTGCTGTCACACTAACATAAAAGTCACTTCGATAAGCAGCACGTGCTCTTGTTTTTGGTGAGACTGCGGTGTGGACTTCACACTGAATTTTATTTCTATAGACTCACTGGTGAGTTGGATGAAAATTATCTTTGCCAAGAAGTAAATGTGATAAACCCATTTTATTTACTAAGCCAGGTTTCTGAGCCTGGCACTGGTGATACCATGGGTAGATATTTCCTCAGAGTGAGGGCTCTGCCGTGTGCTGTACGATGCTTACCTGCATCCACGGGCTCTGCCCATCAGATGCCATAGGCTGCCCTTCTCTTGCTGTGACAGCCATGAACTTTCCCAGACACTCCTAAATGTCCCCTTGGGCACAGAACGGCCCCAGCTGAGAAAAGATTTAGACACTGCTCTCTAGTAACTGAGAAACACTTAATCCCGCTTTGGGTCTTTTTATACTATAGATTGTGTGTTGTAAGAATATAAATATTTGACCTTGAGAGGGTGTCTGGCTTGTGTGGCTCTTTAGCTGGGCTCCTGTTCTCACTCCTTCATCCAGACAGGCTCTGTGGCTCTGTGCAACAGCACACCTGATGGCAGAGGAACTGTTTGCTCAGGGCTAACCACTGTAGGGGACCTTGAACTGGGAGGGGTCCCAGGGTTTGGTCCCATATGCTGGTGTGGAAGGGGTGTCACAGGGAAGAAGCTAAACATTTATAGGGATCCTTGGAGTCCTCAAAGCTCTACTGAGCTCTGTCTCTACAGCAGATCTCCCCACTGAAGAAAGACTGAGGATGCTTAGGACACGTAGAGTTCAGTGTTGTACTGTGGATGCTTGATGACTTTTACTATAACTCCTTCTGCTAAAAACATGCTGTCTTTAGACATAACTAGAATTTTCACTTGATCACTTCAGTTAAGCACATTAACTTTTACCTTGCTTATGAGGCACCATTTGCTTTTTTGGGAGGCGTATTTTCACAAACAGCAGAGAAACACTCAGCAGATCACAAAACTACTTAAACACAACTGATGATAACACACCAAGTGAGCTGTGTAATGCCACACAGGTATTAAAAAATTGTTCTGTTTGAAATCCCTTTTGATGTTTTATTTTTTTGACTGTGCTTGGTCAAAACCTCGTGTAAGAAATACCCAAAGGAATGTAAGTCTGGATAAAACAGAGACACCTGTACACCGATGTTCATCACAGCACTGTTCACAACAGCCAAGCTCTGGAAATAACCCAGTGCCCTACAGCTGATGAATGGATCATGAAATTGTGGTACATATACACAATGGAGTATTTCTCAGCCATGAGGAATAATGACATGGGGTTTGAAGGTAAATGGATGCAATTGAAGGACATCATGTTAAGTGAAGTAGCCAAGGCATAGGTTCTCATGTGTGGAAGATAGATCCAAAGATAAACATATACACAAAACAACATATATAAACACAAATAAATATATATACAGATAAACATATGCACCAATACAAGCATGATCATATACAAACTCAGATGCAGAACATGTTTGTAACAGTGGAAATGCTCTATGGAACTCGGGAAGAGAGGGAAAGGAAGAGAGAATGACAGAGTGTCAGTAATACCGCATATCAAAGATGTGAAGGTAGAGGATGTAAGGATGTGTGTTGAAAGCTGTTGAAAAACAGGGGGTGGAAGGTAAAGGGGTAAGAGAGAGTAATGGAAGGGATTGAACAGACCAAAGTAAAGCAGACCCACAGAGGGCAAGCATTGAGACACCCCTTTGAACATCAACTTAAATATTAATAATGAAAACCAGGACTGTAAAATAGGCACAGTGTATGCGGGAGGGGGTACTAATGGGAGGGGGATGGTGAAGGAAGAAGATTAAGGGGATGGTATATGGTAGATGGACTTCATATACCTATATGAAACAGAACTAAGACAACTCTTGCAATTGCTTTAAGGGGTGGGGAGGGGGCTGAGGGGGAGAGACGATAGGGGCAAGGTAGCTAATGTACAATAAGTCTAATCGGAATTGTCACTACAAATTTGCCCCCCCCATGTAATGAATATATCCTAATAAAAATTTATAATAATAATAATAATAATAATAAAAAGAAATCCCAGGCCAGGAAAGCTGAGGGCAGCCTGTATTGATCAAGAGAATAGCTGGGACACCTGAACACTCTGCTTTGAGGTCCTGCCTCATGGATGAGGCACTGCTCGCTTGTTTTCGCCTGGCCTGTGACTCTAGGGAAAGGCCAAGAGGAAAGCAGGAAAACACCAGCAAGCAGTCCTCCTCCCATCCCCTGCCCCTCCACACTCTTATGGCCTTCAGAGCCTGTAGAGAATTTTTTGTACTGAATGGACCAGGGGGCAGGGAAGGGTCGGAAAACTCAAGCAGACCTACCTCAGGTACATCCCGATGGCGTAGGCACATAGGAAAGAGTAATCCAGGGCCCCAAGCAACTGCTGGTAGTTGTTCTTATCTACATGGATTTGAAAATTGACAGGTATGGTTTAGTTTAGTTCTGGAGCTGGGCTATGAAATACAAAACATCTGTTCTTTAAGTCTAGGGGCACTCAGAAAGCAGAGAGGGGGAGTCTGATCACAGAAAACAAAGTCACCATGTTTCTAGGTTATCACCGAGTAGGTGTTACTGGGGCAGATGCAATCCCTATGGCTTGCCGTGGGCAGGGTCTGACCTCTTGGGCTCATTTTCAGCACCTACACAGGCCCTGTGTGTTCTCTCTCCTTCTCACCCGCAGATTCATACTCTGCAAGCCCCCACTTCCACACTGACAAACGCACACTGCAGGTGATCTGCAGGTTTCCTGAGCACCAGACACGCTTTCTCAGGGGCAACCCCTCTGCACACAGACACTGCAGACCTTGTGGCTGGGGAGCGACACTGCTGTTTGCCAGTGGACAGCTCTCACCGAAATGCACTTACACCTGTGGGTGGCATCACTGCCCCCAAACCAGCCAGGTTGGAAAGATCTGGACAGGACAGCTACATAGGTCCCTGGCTGAAAGAGGGGCACTGACTCAGACTCACCGAAGGGGGCCCAGCCACAGTCTGTCTCGTTGTCCAGGAGCTGGCGAGGGGACCCTTGAGCTTCACTGTTGCTCTGGCTGCTGAGTCTGGGCTCAGCCTCGTCTCCAGACGTGCACTGCTTGTGCAGCTCACCCTAGGGCAGAAAGGGAGGATGGGGTGGGACAGAACGTGTTCTATGGGAGGCTCAACCAAGGAACAGTCAGAGCCCCATTCTCTGAGCAGAAATAAGGCCTATGGGGAGTAGTCTGCGGGACCCACGAGTGCCTGCTGGGGTTGACATTTCAGCAAGGTTCTCCAGCAATTCCACCCCGTGTTCATGCACAACCCACACGAGCATTCATTCGTAGAGCCACCAAAAGACCAATGATGGGGCAGTGTTAGTTTTGAGAGCTCCAAGCTGAAAGCTGACTGCCTGTTACCCATGACCACCTGTCCCCAAGGGCAGAATGGGCCCATTTTGCTAGATTCAAACAACTGAATTGTACACAGTGAAAAAGTATAGGCTACAGGCCTGTGCCACAGTGAGCACAGAAGCCAGACACAAAGGCATACACACTGCGTGAGTGATTCTGTTTCTGCAAAGTTTAGGAACAGACAAGTGGATCCATGGTGCTGGAGAGGAAACTGATGGCTGCTTGGAGGAGGGGACTATGAGGATAAGGCACAGGGAGCTGCTGGGACCCTACCTTAAACTAGGTGCTGGGTACCCAGGTATGCAGGTAAAGATTGGTCAGGCACGAAACTTAAGACTCGTGCAGTTTACAACATATAGCTCATATTCCAATTAAAAAAAAAAACAAAACCCTGAGGCAGCAAGGCCATCTGTCCACCTTGCTGGCCCCAGGACCAGCAAGCAGTGCTGGGGCTGAGCACTTGTCTGGGGGCTGGGGGCAGAGAGGAAAGACATGGCCAGGAAGCTTAATGACGGACTGGCTTGAGAGTAAGTTGCTTGCTGTCCTTGCCTGGGTCCCCATCTGCAGACGGGCTGCAGCTCATCTATACAATGGTCACAGGGACCCCTGATGCTAAACACCACACTTTCAGCAGAGCTTGGGACAGGGCAGCCCTGGAGAAGCAGTTTGAGTGCCAGGAGGCAGCACGGTGGGTGTGAGTAGGGCCCTTCTTCAGGGCATTCCTTAAGAAAAGGAAATCCCACTTCCAGAAAAGCACCACACAACAGCCAGGGCCATCTTACTGTGGGGAAACTAAGGAATCAGTAACTTGCTCTGTCACATCTTGTGCCCTCCTGCTCCTGCACTGTGGGTTGTTTGCTTGTTTTTGCAGTACTGAGGTTTGAACTCAGGGCCTTGTGCTTGCTAGACAGACAGTTAAGCCACTCTTCCAGCCCTTGGTTTCTTTTATAAAGGCTTTGTGCTACATGAGGCTAGGGCGAAGCAACCCCTCAGGTGTGAGCAAGGGTCTCTCACAAGGCTTTTCTGGTCAGGGAGATGTCCTTCAAGGGAACCCGGTGTCCTTTCAGTGTCCATGAGACCAGAGGGGCATTCTTTACTGAGCCGAACCTGAGAAAGGCAGGAGGCCTAGAGAGCAGTGGGAAAAGCTGGCTCAGGGCACAGCGATGAGCAAGGAGTTATCCTGGTCATGTCACCAGGCAGGTGGCAGTCAGAAGTGTCGTCCACCTCCTTCAGGAGGGAGCAACCATGAGGGCAGCTTATCTCAGAAAGGCTGGACTTGCCGGGCTGTGGTCATCAGCTAGACAGCAGATTTGCAGCTGCTGTACTTGGGCGCAAGGTACTGAGGCAAGGCCTGGCACATGGACACAACTGCTCTGTGGCTTTGTCATCATCACCGGGCTATTCTTCCATGATGTCAACACTGCCCTAAAAGCTAGCCAAGTCTCCACTTTACAAATTCAAAGAAATGATCTCCCACATGGCACCCATGCATGGCCCTGGAGGTCAGGTGCTGACCTCCATGTCCTGCTAAGTGAGCCTCCCACAGCTCAGGCCCTGGCTGCTCCTGCGGGGATATGATCTCCACCTGTGGGATCAGGTGAGACCTGGGTACAGGGTCCTGCAGCCCAGCCTTTCCTCTTCCCTGCCTCCTGGTTTCAGACTTCTGGGATCCCTCAGAAGTCAGGTGTTTCTGTCCATCCTTCTGCTCTACTTCCCATGGGGCCGAGTGACAGGCTTCTCGGTCACTGCTCACTGTAAAGGGCCAGGGGTGAGTCAGGAGAGGACTGACAGGCTGAGAGGGAATGGTTTCCAGCATCAGCTTATGCGGAAGCAAGGGAAAGGAATTCCTCAGACCATTGCCCGAAACAATTTCCAGGGCTTCCTTCATCATTTATGTTTCTGGGAAGGACCGTGACGGAAAGCAACAGATTAGAAATGATCTGTTTCCTAGATAAACACGAAAGGTTTTCCAATTTTGCCCCTGAGGAGTAGGGTCTAATGTCTTGGGTAGAGATATGGACAGGGCCACCACAGACAGCCTGGACCTGCTTTTGACCTTGGAGACCTCAGTTACCCCTCTGGCTGTCAGTGAGTCATGGGTTGCTGTAAAGATGGACTAAGTACAGATAGTGTCTCCCAGGTCCTTGGTCCTCAGCAGGCCCAGTGCCTGGCAGCTGAGTCTGTGGTGCTAGGGTGCATTCCTGCAATTAACCTCTAGTCTCACTCAGTGCTATCCTCCCGTGCCCCTCCCCAGTCCTTCTCTTTCAAGTTAGAAATGTCCTCTCTACCCTTGTCTCACAGCCCTGGTGGAAGGTTGCCCCCAAAGCAACAAAAGGTCCAGTATTGCTCTAGCATACAGGGCTCTGAGGATATTTAAATAAGCACATTAGTTTTCAATGGTATTGCTTTACTTCAATTTTTCATTGAGTTGTATCCCTAAAACCTGGTGCTTGGAGGACCAACTACCAGGTCCTCCAAGTGAATGAATTCTCACTATAGGCTGCAGTAAGACAGCCAAGTTCCCACAGCAGTGTTTCTTATCAGAACATTTGGAGAGGGGACAAGTCCATTAGGAAATAGCTTCTGTAAAAGTAGTTTTCTTTGCAAAGTTTTTACAGTAGTGCCTTTCAATAAGCTACATATAAAATTAACCAATCTGTTAAGTCAGTCATCTAGCTATTAAAAAGATCAGAAGTCTACCATTTCATCCAGCAATACCACTCTTGGGGATATACCCAAAAGACTGGGACACAGGTTACTCCAGAGGCACCTGCACATCCATGTTTATTGCGGCACTATTCACAATAGCCAAGTTATGGAAACAGCCAAGATGCCCCAGCACTGACGAATGGATTAAGAAAATGTGGTATCTATACACAATGGAATTTTATGCAGCCATGAAGAAGAACGAAATGTTATCATTTGCTGGTAAATGGATGGAATTGGAGCACATCATTCTGAGTGAGGTTAGCCTGGCCCAAAAGACCAAAAATCGTATGTTCTCCCTCATATGCGGACATTAGATCAAGGGCAAACACAACAAGGGGATTGGACTATGAGCACATGATAAAAGCGAGAGCACACAAGGGAGGGGTGAGGATAGGTAAGACACCTAAAAAATTAGCTAGCATTTGTTGCCCTTAACGCAGAGAAACTAAAGCAGATACCTTAAAGCAACTGAGGCCAATAGGAGAAGGGGGTCAGGAACTAGAGAAAAGGTTAGATCAAGAAGAATTAACCTAGAAGGTAACACCCACACACAGGAAATCAATGTGAGTCAACTCCCTGTATAGCTATCCTTATCTCAACCAGCAAAAACCCTTGTTCCTTTCCTTCCTATTATTGCTTATACTCTCTCTTCAACAAAATTAGAGATAAGGGCAAAATAGTTTCTGCCAGGTATCGAGGGGGTGTGGGGGAGAGGGAGGAGGCGGAGTGGGTGGTAAGGGAGGGGGTGGGGGCAGGGGGAAGAAATGACCCAAGCATTGTATGCACATATGAATAATAAAACAATAAAAATAAACAAATAAATAAATAAAAAGATCAGAAGCTGGGCATGGTGGTTTACTCCTGTAATCCCAACTACTGGGGAAGCAGAGGCAGGAGAGCTGTTTGAGGTCAGCCTTAGCAAGGCCCTATCTCAAAAATAAAATACAAACAATAGGGCTGGGAGTGTAGCTGAGTGGTAGAATGCGTGAAGCCCCTGGGTTCAATCCCCAGTGCCTCTAAAATATAAAATAAAAACCAAAACAACAAAACCTAATCAATCAAGAGGGTGGCAGGCGAGCGATCCATTTATGCAATGTCAAAGGTGGAAAAGCCACTGGCCTATTGCAAGTGTGACATCAAGTTTAGCAAATGGAACACAACAGGAAACCAACAGCTAAAGGCCATGGTGTCTGCAGGGTGGGGGAGAAAGATGCTAAGATGCTGGAGGAACAGCCACAAGCTGAAGAGGCTGTGAGCACAGGGGTGGGGCAGGAGAGCCTCATCCCTGTTCTTACTTGCCTTTGTCTGTGGACTCCCTTGCCAGCCCTCCTCCCCCAGCCTCCCCTGTCCCCCTAGCCTCAGGTAGCAAGAGGAGACATCTTCCCAGAAGTGCTAGGCAGCTACAGCAGGAGCATTTTCTCCAACAAGCCTGGGCATCCCAGTTGTCCACTTGCACAGATACACGTAGGTGCAAAAACTGCCATAGTAATGAACGCTCAGTGAGGATTTAGAAGGCTCTGTGCTTTGAGCTCCAAACTTGGCTCTCATTAAGAAGCCATTCTCCTCGCTCCCCTGGGTTCCCAGCCCTGCCTGACCCTGGGGCTACAGTGGGTGCTCACTTGCTCCAGGACCCATCAGTCCAAAATCAGGAAGGCACAGGCAGTGACAGGGAAGGGTAGGGCAGTCAGAAGGAGGGTTCAGGCAGAGCACTCAAGAGCCCGTGCGTGTGTACACATGAGTGCACGAAGCATCTGCACCTGTGGCATGTTTTGGACCTTCGCATGGTTCGTTAGGTTGTGTGGGTTCACTTCTGCCAACTCGTCCTTGACGTTCCTTCTGCAATGTTAGAATAAGTCTCAAGCATTGCCCAAAAGAAGTCCCACAACAGAAATGAACGTTTTGATACCAAAAGTGGGAAGACCCGATGGGCAGCGCCCCGCTTCCGATGTCACAGGTGCTGCACAAAAACAGGCCAAGTTTGTTGAGGCCCAGACAAGCACATGTAGATGGTCCCCACCGTGACGGTGACTCGCCACTTTCTGGCTTTAGGATGGTATGAAAGGGATACATATTCAGTAGAACCCATACTTGAAATTTTGGATTTGGATGTTTTCCTGAGCTAGTGACATGCTGTATAATTCTCTCTCAAGGCGTAGGGCAGTGGCAGTGACTGCAGCCCCCAGCCAGCCACAGTCTCCTGAGGGAAACACCTGACACTACAGTGTGCTGTGTTCCTGAGCTGGAAGGTGAGGCGCATTAAAGGCATCTGACTGATGATGGGTTTATCGGGACGCAAACTCTCAGTAAGTCAAATAAAAGCATCTCTACTCTGCTCACAGAGGTACACAGAAACACGTAGGGATGCTTTCTGCTCATTGCTTAGTTTCAAAAATGGAACCACTGTACTTTTCCTTACTAGCATAAATATCCCCCAGTGTACTAGTGAGGTATACCCTAACTTCTTACTCAAAATACCTCCTGAAATCTTGTGAGTCAATCGATTTGCCTCTAACCAATTCCTTCGGGTAGTTGCACATTTCATATTATGGATTTAACACAATTTATTCCCATTTCACCCACTATTAGGTTTACGTGATATCCAGCATTTTCTTCCCTTTTACGTGATATCCAGTATTTTCTTCCCTTTTTTGTGTTTGGATTGCTACAAACAATGCTACAATAAGGATGTTTATGAGGATATCCCTGCGTATGGGTGCTTTTATCTTTATGAGTGTGTTAGTCAGCTATTCATCTCTGTGATCAAATACCTGAGAAGTCAACTTAAGGGAGGAAGGATTTATTTTGGCTCATTGTTTCAGCCCATGTTTCTGGGCCTGTGGTGAGGCACAGCATCATGGTGGAAGGGTGTGGTGTGACTGACCTGTTCAACACATGGCAGTCAGGAAGCAGAGCAGAGACAGGAAGGAGCCAGGACAAGATATGTCCTTCAAAGGTCACCCCCTGTGACCTACTTCCTCCAATCAGGCTCCACCTCTGCATTTTGCTACTTCCCAAGACTGTTCAACATTTGAATCCATTAATGGATTAAACCACTGATTAGGTCAGAGCCCCTATAATCTAATCACCTCTGGAGTAGCCCCCATAGATATACCCAGGGGTGTACTTCATTAATCTCCCGGTGTCTCTCAATCCAATCAAGTCGACAATCAAGATTAGTCACCACAGGATGATGTTTCCAGGAGGAGGAGGACTGAAGGCCACGTGTATTTCTTATTTCAGTAGGAGCTGCCAGAACGCTTTCTAAAACATTGTAGATGTTCTTACAGCAACAAGGGTTGTGCCAGCTGACAGTCATAAAGTTATATGCCGTGACCTTAATGTGCACTCATGATGGCTAATAAACTTGAATGAATTTCATGCATTTCTTTATACTTTGGATTCCTGGTCTGGGAACTGCCTATTCATCTCTTTGTCCAGTGTTCCTTTGGGTTTCCTGACTTCATACTCCTCAGACAAACTAATTTTATTCTTGGGTTTTTATTTTTCACTATTTACATTTTATCTCCTCATGTGATATCATAATAATTTGATTATGGTTTTACAAAATATGTTAATCTTTTTTTGATAGTTTCATTAAAACATGTTATCTTTTTCACACTTTCTTTGGGGTTTAATTGTTAGGCTGTCTTCCATATATACTTTAGGATTATTTTATTCAATTAAAAGACCACTGCTGAGATCCTCACTGGACTTTCACTGGGGAGCACTGGAACCTTCCAGATAGCAAGTTTCCTACCCAAAGCCATGGTGCGGACTTCCGCCCTTTCAGACTTTTGTTTTCTGTCTGCCCTTGAGGATTTTATGGTTTTCTTCTTACAGGTCCTGCGTGTAGATGCGGCTGGACACACTCATGTTCAAATCAGTCAACGTTACCATTCCCCCCAGCCCCAAGTTCTTGCAGTTTCCCTCTTACAGGTTCCTACTTTGGCCCAGCTTGGGTAACAGAGCCTCCCAAAAGGTCCCCTCCAGCAGGGTACAGACCCCACCTATCTACCTACCTCACCTCATGAGGTCATGCTGCTGGTGAAACAGCAGGAGAAAGGACAGGGCTGCACTTGTGACAGACACCACCATCCTCCCAACACTGTTTTCACTGTCATTTTTAATACAATACATTTCTCAATCAGAGAAAAATAAAATTAGCCAGCAGTGATTCAAGGCAAGTCTAACCCTGACTTGATAGGCCATGTCGTTCTGTAAATGAATTAGAGAATGTGAATCACTTTATAATTCTCAAGCCTGGAGACCCAGTTCAAGTAAGCAAGGATGTTGTGTGCTGTAAGGTTCAAAGAGTGCCTTTGGTCAGTAGAACCACCACTGCTTTGAGTTTCATTTGTGCTATTTTAACAGGAGCTAAAGTATGCAGAGGCTCCATAGGCCTTCTGAAGTCTAAGTTATCATGTGTGCTGTGATATTTTATCTACATTAAAAGGCAAAGAAGCCCACAGGATTCAGCATGGGGCCAATCCATACTCAGGTGCAGTTATGGTGCTAAGTTGGAAATTCTGGTTTGATAAAGAAAACCAGGGTGAGATGCTGATTTAATTATTCAAGTAATTAACTGTCGTGAAGGCCCAAAGGCAGCGACCCTGGAGTCGGGGACCCATGTAGAATTCACCTGAGTGAGCCCTAGCCCTCTGAGTGAAGGAGCTAAGGTTCTCTGCTTCCTGCTAAGGATGCCTACGGGGTTACTGTGAGGACCGTGTCAAACAATGGATGTGAGCACCCTGGTATAGCACGGGCTCACCAGGCAGCCGCTATCATTACTTACGAGATGCTGGCATAAGAGCTAACTCTGAGACCTCCTGTCAGCAAGCTCTAAGCCCCAAGGTGCAGACACCACTGCATGCTGAGGTCAGGGGGTCCGTGACCTTGAACCATGCTCATAGCCCTGCCTGGCAAAATGGGGACCCTAATGGCTGTTGGATAGAATCCAAATGGCCAGCCCCACTTTATATGCCACACCTGTCCTGCAGACCCTCACCTATCAAATGGGCAGGTCATGGTGATGCCCCATTTGTCCCTCCCCCAATCCAAACCCATGCTTTCTGGTCAGTTGTGGAGCCCCGCAAAGGCTCCCTGACTGTGCTTGGTGCATCACATCCACGGCTCTCACAAAGGCCTCTTCCAGTTTTGTAATTCACCATTTTCTTGAGTCACTTGTGAGTTTCTCTGGCCAGAAAGACAAGAAGCAGTAGCATTCAAATGTCCAGGGCTAGCTGTTGGTCTGTCAAGTGAAGGAAAGGCTGCCACCTCTTTTTCCCATCCCTATCTCTCTTTTGAAAACCCATTCTTAAAGTACTGCAGGGTCATTTGCACATCCATGGTCAATGACCTGACGGGTATGGAAATTTACTGAGTTCAAACCCCAGTCCCACCATTAAAAAAAAAAAAAGGAAGGGAGGGGGAGTTCCTGGTTACCAGGGGCCAAGGGGCTAAGGGGGAGTTTTAGAATCTTTTGAGTGTTTAACATAAATTGGGAACAACTGGAGAAGAAACAGAGCCCCACCACAGAGGCTGCTGCCTCCAGGGCCCCAGAGCACTTGGAGGGCAGCTGTCCACACTCAGTTACAATGTTCACAGCATGGCAGTCCTGACCCGGCCTGTGACACTGCTGCAAGGTAAGTGAGGAGCAACCAAGCTGTAAATGAGCTTCTTTTGCACAGGACAGTTTTCTTGTACATTCGAGCCTGCTGCTGGTCCTCAGGCAAGATGGATGTCAGGCCACCTTTCCAAGGTGAGGATAAGAAAACAGGCCCACTTCTTTTCCCATGCTATGACTGGTTATTGTGGAGGACTGTCTGCTTTGGTCTCCCATTCTCAAAGTCTAGTTCATCCACTTTCTGCCTGCCCATCCCTCCGACTCACACAGTGTCTGAGAACCACAGCACCACCATCACAGCCAGATTCCGGGCCAAATCGTATTGAGTCCAAGCCGTGTGGGAATGATTTCAGACTGGACACACTTGGACAGAAAATTCACACAGAGTAAGCATGAAATTGAGTTTGAGATTCCAAAACTGTCAACTAATGTAAGTAAATTATAAATTATTTATTTATATTGACATTATAAAGCTTAAAGCGTTTTTTTTTGAATTTCTGAAAAGGGAAACTAGAAAGCCAAAGCCTCTAAGCAATGTCTTTGCACTGCTCACTTATCTGCCCGCCCTCCCTACTGCCTCCCGCAAAGCTTCACAGAGCAGAGATTACAGGAAGGATAGAAAACTGAGGTCAGATCAGTTTCTTACCTTAACGATGCTGATGGGCTTTCTAGATAAGTGGAAGCTTGCATACAGCAAAAATGTCAGGATGAAAATGAACGCTCGGTACCTGAAACACAGTGGGGTAGAGGATGTGAGGGACGCAGAAAACTGTCCCCACTGTGCTCGCCCGTGTTCCTGTACAAGGCTTTCCTCAGCAGTGCAGAATCAGCAACCCATCTGACTAGTGATTACTACAGTAGAAGAACATTTAAAAATCCCAAGATGGTTGACAGTGGCTGAGGCACAACTGTTGATGTGTTTAATGCTGCACAACTGTATACTTAAAATGATTAAAATGTTAAATTTAAAAAAATTGCAGGGTTTGCTTGTCCAAATGGAAACTATTGAAACTCTCTAAAAGGCAGGAAAAATCAAGTTTTCCTGCCACACATACAACACACACCACTCCTGACACCAGCTGGGTGTCCTACAAGTCAAGTCAGTTCTGACACTGTGTACCTGGAGGTAGTGTCACGACTCACAGGTTGAGGGCTCTGACATCAAATTGGTCCCCACTTCAGGTGCCAATCACAAGTCTCATGTGGTGATGACCAGCTATAAATCAGGGTTCCCACAACCCCTTCTTGGGCTCAATTGATTTGCTTGAGCGACTCACAGCAATCAGGGAAAAACTTTGCGTGCATTAACTCATTTATTATAAAGACTATTACGAAGGATACAGATGAACAGCTAGATGGAAAAGATGCCCACATGGAGGTATGGTGGAAGGGGGTGGAACTTCCATGCCTACATGGGTACCTCCATGTGTTCAGCAACCTGGAAGCTCTCTGAACTTGGCCTTCCAGGTTTTATGGAGGCTTTGTCAGTCATGACTGGTTATATCACTGGCCACTGGGATCCACTCAACCTTCTCCCATCTGCCCTCCCAAGAACCAACCCTCTTATCACAGGTTGGTTCCCCTGGTAACCTGCCCCCATTCTAAGGGGATCCAGGAGTCCCCAGCCACCAGTCAGCTCACTAGCATACAAAAAGACACTTACTACTTCAGAGATTCCAAGGGTTTGGGGGACCGTGTACCAGGTCAGGAGCAAAGAGCATATCGTAATTATTATATCACGACAACACAAACATTCATTGAAAAACTACAAGGAGAAGTATGAGACTCAGCAGGTGTACACTCGTGTTTACAAAGCAGACAAGAAGGAACAATTATTTAGTTTACAATGCAGTAAGCTTTTTGCATAGACTGCTATCCTGGGCATTTGAGCTCATATTTATTTTGGGCTGATTAGTTTCCAAGCAGTTTTCAGAAGTACACAAGCAAGGCTGGCAGGAAGCCTGAGTACTTTACTCTAGCAGGGCCGATGAAGTGAAGGCACCACACAGCCCTGCTGTCCCATGAGCTCAGGAGCAAGGAACTCCGGGGCAAATGAGGAAGACCAAGGAAAGTAGGGATTACACAAAGGACAGATGTTGATCACCATCTGAGAGCAAAGACCCGGTACATAAGAGCATTTCCCAGAGGAGCAAAGCTGCTGGGGAAACCACGCTTGACAACAGACGAGGCTTAAAAGGGACTCCACCCAGGAAGCTCTGCTGTCCCGAGCGAGCCACAGTCCACCCTGAGGAACCCAGCCTGCTTTTGTCCTGGGACGGTCCTAAGTTGAAATTGTTAGATGGTGGCTCAAATCAACAGTTACACTAGGCAGAGATAAGCAAGGAAAGGCAGGGGTTCTGTCTATGGAAGGACCATGTCCCCAGGCCATGCATGCTGGGATCACAATTTTAGGGCTGCCTGCCTCTCTGGATACCCGCAAAAATAGAGGCCAACTAAATATTTCCAGAATTAAAAAACAACAAAAACCATACTTCTTGTGGGAAGAAAGGATTGGTGACCCTGCATGACTGAACCCCACAGCCTCTGAAACACCAGGCCTGAGGGGGAGAAAAAAGTCAACTTGCCAGCAGGGGCTTGCTGGTGAGTGAAGCAAGGCTCCTCTGTCTTCCCAGGAAAATGCAGAGGTTTTCCCAGTCCTTTCCCTCCCAGTGAGCCAGGCCAGTGAGAAGAAAGGAAGAAAGTGAGGCTCTGAAAATGAGTGCAGAGTTTATCCAAAGCCCAACGGGCTGGTCCACCCTGCAGGGCTTTGCTGCAGAAGCCCAGGTCTTCTTCCTATTTCTGAGCACCATAAGTCTGGCTGAAGCTGCTGTACACACATGGCTCTCACACCTTAGGCTGTGGTGCAGGGAGGTTCTGGCCACGGAAGCTTGGTCACCCCAAGACCCATGTTTTCCACAGACAACTAAGTGGACAGGGTCAAGCAGCCTGTGGGTGTCCTTATTTGCCCCATGGGGCTCAAGGACCCCTTTCCCAACCTCCACAAGGAGCATGAACAACGTTGTCAGTTCCCCTTGGGTCTTCTGTGAGCTCTGGCTGCTCCCACCTGGCTACAAATGAGAGAGAGAAAAAGAAGAGTGGATGACTTAGTGGGCCTTAGGGTCAGGCCCTCTGCCCTCTGCCCTCTACCCCAGGGCCTGGTAATGAAACTTTTTTTGTCGGGACAGGACAAGTCCAGGCCCTGATATACACTGCATTCCTCAGTGTCAAGACTGCCTGGGGGATGAGAAGGTGGCTCCAGCTCTGGGCCCCAGCCTTCCTCTACCTGGCCCTTGTGCAGGTGACTTCCAACAAGTGGCATGATCCTTCAGGCTGAGGTCCTCCCCAGGACAGTCCCTCACTGGTCAAGCCCGATAAACACGGAGCTCCTTCAGTACAGGGAGTGGCAGGGCCTCTGGAAGTCTTGTTTCACTCTGTGGAAATGAAGCCCTGGACAAATGAGCCCTCAAGGCAGAGTGACTGCAAGGCCAGCAGGGCTTTCCAGAGAAGCCCTCTTGAGGGACCAGGGTGAAGGGTCACCATATGCAGTGGCTGGAATCATCTAGAGACTGAAGAGGAAACCTTATCTTCTCCTAGCTGGTTTCAGGCTGTTCCTACTTCCTCTGTTACCAAACTCGTCCTTCCTCCCCTTTCCTCACGTTCCTTACATAGAATTTGGAGAGGGAGAAGCCAGTGGCTAGAGGATGGGTTTCCTCTTCCGGAAAGGTTTGACTGCAGCAGCTACTCTTTGTGGGCGTCTCACTCCACCTCCCCTCTGAATGAGCAGGAGCCTTATTTCTGGGGGACTGTCCTGGTTCAAGTGCCTGAAGACCCAAATGACCCTCTTAGTGCCCTTTCTCCATTGTGTAATTCTTTCTTCATCTCCTTTCTTCACATTTGTGAAGTAAAAGTTTGGATCATTGTTTTCTTTCATCCATCCTGTGCTGAATTGAACAGTGTTCTCCAAAAACTCACGCCCACCCACAGCTTCAGAATGTGACCTGACCTGGAAGTCGATAATTACATCTTTGAGGATGTCATTAGTTAAGGTGAGGTTATATTAGATTAGGGTGGCCTTAAACCCAATGACTGGTGTCATCATAGGAAGAGGAAGGACACACAGAGATACAAAGGAGGAGGCCCTGTGACGACAGAGGCAGAGGCTAACATCATACAGCGACATGTTAAGGAATGCCTGACTACCAGGACCACAGTGCCTGCTGGGGACTGGACTGTGGGTTACTGAAAGGTCTGCCAGCAGCACCAGGGACTGGAAGAAGCAGGAAAGACCCTCCCCAGAGGCTTTCAGAGGGAGCGAGGCCCTGCCGACACTTGGATTTTGTTCTTACGGCCTCCGGAATCCATTTCTGAGAGAATCCATTTCTGTTGTCCTGAGACACGTGGCTCACAGTACTTTGTATGGCAACCCAGGAAACCCAACACAATCCTCTTTTTGCTTGGTGTTGTATTTAGACTCATGAAGATAACAACAAATGCAATGAAACAGGAGTGGCCTCATTGCTCACTCATCAGTGCTCCACTTAGGATCACAGTTCTGGTGAACTGCAGCATGTCCATACAAGAAGGCTGGGGTTAACCTCAAGTCCTGACAATGCTACCCCAGAACAGGGTGCACCTCCAAAGCTTTTCAAGGGTACCCTAGAGTATCACCACCTCCTCACTTAGGACCAGCAGCAGTCATCTCAGTGTCATTCGTCTTGAGCAAATAAGGAATCACCAAGCTTTGAGACTGCCTAACTCAGCTACGTGACTGGAGTAGAAAGTAGTTGGAAGGCATCCTGACTCAGAGACAATGAAGCCAAATGTGGGAGACATGCTGGATCTTCTTCAGAGTGCCTGCTTAGGAGGCTGTGACACCAGAGACATTAACTGTGGTCACTGATTGAGGCACTGCCTTGCCTCAGTGAGACTCCCACTTTCCCCACCAAGTGACGAGTATGGAACATATTGGGGACATGCGCTGAGATGACGGAGATGGTCCGTTCCTCAACCCCCAGGGCACCCCAGCCCGCGCCGCAGCCCCAACTCCAGCCTCCACTCCACCTGGCGGTGGGCCTCCTGCAGGAAGGAGGCCCTCTTCCCCTCCAGGGATTCAGCACTAGTCATGTCAGGGAAGACTTGCGAGTTCCACAGACTGTCCTCCACTCCTAGTATTAATTATTTTAAGTCCCTGTCGTCCTGGATCTGGCCAGCAAGTCCCTTCATTTTGAAGCACATCCTCGTTTTCTGGTATCACAAGGCCCAACTGTCTACCTTGCTTTTCTGGCCAGTCCTGGCATCTGCCAGGCCTCCAAAGCCCACAACCCCATTGGTGGGAAATTGCACACACAGACGAAAATCCACCAGGGGCATGCTGTTCTGGGGCCACTGTTGCAGGGCCTCTCAGTGGGGTGCACATCCCTCCTCCATACACAACTGTTTCTAGACCTCCATGAGTTCACTGTGAGGCCTTGGGAGCCAGCCAACACTATCCCAGTCCTCACCATCCCCTGTAGAAGCCGTAGCTCCTCTCCAGGGAGGGGAGAAAGCTGCCTTTCTCTGGGGGATTTATACCAAAAACGCCTAGTTTGAATCTCATCCAGAGAAAACGCCAGGTATATCCAAAACAAGACATTCTATAAAATGCATGAACCCTTAGGTAATGCCAAGGTCATAAAAGACAAAAAAGGCCAAGGAATGGTTCCAGATGAAAGAGCACAAAATCCACGAGACAACGAAATGCAGTGTGTGACCCTGGACGGGATCCCGGACAAGGGAAGAAACACTTGTCAAAAGTAGTCTGGATATTTGACACAGTTTTCAATATGGACTGCGGGTGAGGTAGCACTACTTTATAGCTGTTTGGTTTCCTGATTTTGATCTTTATGCTGCGGCTGTACAACAGAATGTCCATTTTTATCTGTCTATCTATCAGTCATCTATCATCTGTCTATCTATCAGTCATCTATCTATCTATCTATCTACTTACTTTTTGGTGCTGGAGATGGAACCCAGGACCTCATGCATGCAGGCAAGCACTCATTGAACCTAACCCAAGAGAATGTTTTGTTCACAGGAAATGCACATAAAAATACTGGGAAATAAAAGGGTGTGATGTCTACAATATACATAGATGTACACACACAGGGTGTGAAGAAGCAAATGAGGCAAAATATAAAAAACCTGTGCTACATATGAATTCTACAGTTTTTTTTGTGAAGTCTCATAGTGTTAATAAGTTCTATGCGTTTGAATTATATCACCATAAAGTAACAAAACAAACAAGCTAAACAGTCACAAAATAAAAGCGTTTAAGTGACTGATCGTGGCTTGATTTGGTTCACCGGAGGCACAGAGTTGAAGTCAGTCAGGAAAGCGATCTGAAGATGTTTTCACTTCAAACCTGAGATCTCCAGTGGACACCCCACCAACCAGGCCAACCAGCCAGGCCTGAGCTGCTGCAAGGGGTGTGGAGCCCGAGGGCATGGCACTGAAGTCATTTGGAGTGGAAGGCTGTCAAGCTCCTGAAATCTCTTAACTGCCTAAAAGCAGAGCCTCCTGAAGCACTCAAATGTCACAGATCCTCTCTCTGAAAGTACCCAGGGAGAACGAACTCTTACCACCACTGCAGGGAGATCTTGTCATTTTCTTAAGGGCCCACTTGTCTTTCTCCTAAGTCCGCTTCTCCCTCTCCCCTTTCCCTGTTAGATGATAATAACCCACAAATTCTAAACACCCTTGAGTCACATTTCTCTGTGACCTCTCGCCCATTTGTGCTTGTCTTTTATTTATCTACCTTGTGTCAGTTTAATTTGCAAGCCCCCAAGCACTCAACATAAAAGGGTGGGAGGAAAGTTTTGCCTTCCTGACAGAGATCAGGAGGGTATGCTGGAGGTACCAGGGAGCTCCAGACTCTGTCCCGCCACCTCCTTCCTCTGGTGGCAAGGAATACTGGATCCACCCATGAGAAGTCTGAGGGCAGGCAGGGAGAGATGTTCTCTGAACAGAGAATGGTGCTCTAGTCTGCCTGCAATGGTGTCAGTTTCATGTTCTCCCTAAACACTGGGCCCCGGCTAGGCCACTCACGTGGGCCCAGAGTTACTGTGCTTATTTTACACACAACCATTTTACAGTCCTGCCTCTAGTTCCTGGTCCATTTCTGTAGGGACCATGATCATTACAGAATCCACTGAAGACCATCCACGGGTCTGAGCACTATATTTCTACGTTAGCAGAAATGGAAGGATGGCCAGTCAGGCTTCAGGCCACAGCTTCCACCACCACCAGGCAAATCAACAATCGCTCACTTTTCTTACAGGAACGGGGACGAGAAGCCCATCCACCCATGGCCCTCTGCCCCCACAGCGCCACGCCAGAGGCTGGACTGCTAGGACTTACCACTGATCCCTGGAGAAAGAGACGATGAAGCGGATGCCAGCTGGGAGTCGAGCCATTTAAGATGCCACCGACCTTGGAACTTCTGTCACAAAACCCGATGCTTCATAAACAGTTGTGGATCCCAGCTCCAGGTTCCTTCTCCACCACCTGTCAGTCTACGACACCTGGAAGGCCAGTGAAGGTGTCATGCTGGGTCTTGTCCCCTCTTCCTTCCGGCAGGGAGACACGCTCTAGGGGAAAATGAGAGGTGTTGAAAGTCTGCTGTGCCACCTTGGAGACACCAGCTGAAGTAACTCCATAGCTATGCAGTGATGCTACCCAGTCCAGGTCAAGTTGGACTTCTGAGACTACAGGGAGCTCCCACCTGAACACCACTGGTTAGAGGCAGGGTGTCTGCCCTGGGGCGGTAAGTACAGAGATCACTGAAAGGAATTTCACAGGATGTTCTGATGATGTATAAAAAGCAGGCTGTCATCTCTACCTAGAGGGTTTTCAGAGATCAGGGTACTCTCAATCATGACACCCTACACACCAACTACCGGTATTTAAACAGAACCAAATGTGTGCCCACTGGTTCCACCATGTGCCCAATTGTCAGAGCATGCTGGGGCACTGGACTTGCTCAGTTCCACCTGTTGGCTCTGGAGACCTAAAGGGCAGATGAGTGAGTAGCCCATCCCCAGGGAGAGCACTGCATTCCTGTGTCCTGAGAAGGAGCTGTAAATCTGCACCCTGAAGAGGAGATACAGGGTCTGATAGATCTGCTGCAGGGCTGATGAGCAAAACGCTCTCAAGATTGTTTCCCCTCCCCCAATAAAGGTGCAAACAGACCAGTTCATCTAAGAAAGCCCGCGAATCCATGGCCAATGAAAAGAGCCCACCTCACCCTTACCCAAACCCAGAGTTAAAACGTCCACGAAAGCCCCAGCCTTCACCTGAGTAATGAGCGACTGGTTTCTGGGCTCCACCGCACTGCTCTAGCTTCGCCTTTCCTTTCTCTCTAATAAACCCTACTTCAAATGCCAGCTTTGGCTCACAAGTCAATCAGCTGCCTCACGAGCCAGTTCTCTGGCCTGGGAAGGCAAGGACCCTCGACACCCGCCCACCACACTTCACACTGGCACATAACACACCTGCTACAGACAAGGCCACCTTTAAGCCACAGTAACAGAGAAGACTGAAGGTCTGGAGGAAAGGGAAGATCAGATCAGTCACTTAGTTGTGGCTTTGCAAATCCAATGGCAATGCACCTAACGTCGTGGGAATGAACTCCACCTCATATCTGCCTCTGCATTTTTCATCTGTGGGCACCTCAGAGGCCATGGAAGATGACCTCATTGGGAAGTCTTGCCTGAAGCAGGGCCTTCAGACAAGGAAGGGATGGAGCAAGGCCTGTGAGCTGACTAGGGGTTCAGGCAATCAGGCAGGCCCAGGCTTCCATCTCAAAGCCAACCTCATGGCTTATATTCCAAAGTCCTGGTGTCTTCCAAACTAGCATTGTCTCCTCACATTCACCCTTGAGCAAGCTTTCAAAAAAAATGCACATGCTGGCCTGGGGCTATAGCTCAGTGGTGGAGCACTTTCTTAGCACACTAGAGGCTCTGGGTCCCATCCTGGCACCACAAAAATAAAAAGAAATAAACTAAAACCACATCCCTAGTTGGTTGTTTCATATACCACATTCCACAGAAAAATTTCAAATCCTTGCTAAGAGTTCATGAGGGGGGTTGTCCAGCCCCCACCTCCCTCAAGGAGGCAGTGAAGGCCCTTTCTGCCCTACCAGGTGAGCTCCAGCTTTCCACCCGAGTCCCAGCTTAGCAGGTGTGATTCATTCTACCTGGAAAGCCTCTGACTGTAGCTGAGCCAGGGCTAGGTAAGCCCAGGCTCATCACTTAACTGCTCCTTTACCTTCCCTGCCTAAAATGTGGGCTCTGATGGCCTGATGGCACCAGCATTGTTATCAAAACTGAGAGATAATCCCTGTAAAACCACTGGCACCAAGTCCTGGGGCAGAGTAGATACTACCCGGGTTGCATGGCCTGTCAACTGGAGAGCGGGTGGGGCTGCAAGTGACCATCTGCCCATATCCTAGCCCAGAGCAAACAACCAGAAGCTCTCTTGAATGAATGGCTTCAAATCATCAAGACCACTTTGGCTCAAACTGCTACATTTAAATGATATTTTGCTAAAAGTTCACTCAAAATGAGGGTACCCTGATTTGGACCTCCATATGAGTGTCTGTAGTAAATAATTTTGTGGTAAATGACTTTGGGTGAAAATTTTGGTTTCACTTGTACAATGCCTCAAGACAGACGGTCAGCGTCAAATCTCTTCACAGTGCTGCTTCTGTGTGTGCCGTTTCTGGAAATACCCTACTGCCATCAATAAGCCTCAACTCTGTAAAGCCTGTAACAGTGAAGACCTAGAAGGCACTGAAAAATCAGCACGGGGGAAGTGGGGGGGGTGGGGCTTGTTTCTTTATGTTAGGTAGCATGGGGACACACGAAGGAAACCTAAGATGGAGACTTTTCAAGGTCTCTGGGAGAAAAGCACTTAACAGCCCTCATTAGCTCAAAAGAGCCCACTAAGGTCATGGGACGTCACAAGATGATTTTGAGTCACCCACCTAAGGTGGGTGTCAGTTTTGAAACAATAGATCTTTACTTAGCAAAACAAAGGCCCAGGCCTCTAAACCAGACCCTCGGGGTCAGGTGGACTCAATAATAGTTAGTACATTGTGAATCTGTAGATCTACCCTAGCGTCCAGTGACCTGACCCCAGGGAGGGACTTAACTGCTCTAAGCCCCCTCCATCTCAATAAAAACTGTGCCAGGGTGAAAAATAATTGTCCTTTTCATGCTGCCTCTAGAGATGAGCTGGCTTCCAGTCTACTGAAAGTGTTCCTTTCCCAACAAATTCTGGAAATGCTGATGGCTCTTCCGCTGGTGCAGCGGGTGAGAGTAAGGTACTGTAATTCTCACGGGATGTGCACAGGGTGACTTCACATTGGGGTGTGCAGAGCTCGGCCCACACCCACTGGAGCCTGGCCTTGAACTGCTAAAGTCCCAGGTCCTAGATGGTCACGCTCTGATGATGCTCACCATTCACTTTACAGGGAGAAAACAGGCTCTCATGGAGGCCTGCCTGGCTCCCCAGCACTGCAAATTCCAGGCTGTTCTGCTGGCCTCAGGCACCTCCTCTCCACTGAGTTTCTTGGCTGGGCAGAGGGCAGCATGTCCCTCAGGTGACAACCTGGTTTTGGCACACAGCCCAAGCACATAAGAACTTTTAAAAGTCACTGATTATAGGCTCCCTGGGAACTTTCTACCTCACTAGGGGAAAAGATCAGATGCACTGTCACCACCAGCAACTAGGAACCACATTGCCAGAATGGCCCTAACCAATCGCAGAGCAGGCATGGTTGGCCCTCCTTGAGCAAGATGTGTGAACTCAGAAAAACACAGCCACAAGCCCCATTGAGACCCTCGAGGCATCAAGCTGATCAGGACAGTCGCCATCCTCTGCAGAGACTCAACGAGGGCGAAAGAGAGAGACAGCCAGAGTGACGTTTAAAGAGTCTCTCCAGGGCTGAAACTGCCCCACACAACCAAAGCAGTTCCGCAGACAGCTCAAATAATCTACTCAATGGCAAAAATTAAAAACTCAGTCATATTTTATAGGCAAAGAACTACATCTGTCCCCCAAAACACTTTCAAGCAGTTTCTTTTTGACAGATAGAATACAACTTGCCCTTCAGAGTAAGCACTTTCTAAACCTTTAAAAGCCCTTTCCACATTAAAGATGAATGAACACGGCCACTATCACTTTGCCTGGGCTCAAGTACAGAAAGGAGTCCGGGTTCTGTTCCCACCACCACCCTTACCCCACCCTTCCACAAGCTGAACGTCCCAGGTGGTCTGCAGGGAACAGAGCTTGCAAGTGCAGTCCCAGAGCACATGGTGGACAGGACTGTCCAGGGCCCGGGGTTTTCAAGCTCACACTAACAGGGAATGAAAGAAAGGGGAAATTAGTATATTTTCCACAATTTACCGTACTTCACACAATCTAAGTTCAAGGGCAGGCGGGCAGACGCCTTCCAGGCAGAGAGCTCAGAAGACCGGGAAAAGGCAAGCTTTGGAATTCCTCCTTTAGAAATTCAAAGCCGGGCGAGGATGGGGGGAAAAGCTTTCTAGCATCCTCGGTTCAAATGCAAATCCCTAAACCTTACCTCCCGGTCTCCGAGATCCGAGCGCGGACTGCCGGGACTAGGAGGGCTGGAGAGCGGGTGGCCAGCGGCTGGGGACTTTCCGGCGTTTTGAGCCTTTATTAGAGCCAGAAGGTGGCTGTCACTGACGTTGGCCGGGAGGCCCACGGGCTCCGGGAAGCTGCGGCTCAGCAGACAAACAAGCCGCGAGCCCAGGGCGCTGGGCTACGAACTTACCCGAGGGCTTTGCGCGCCGGCTCCTCCCCGATGCGCTACAGTTGCCCGGTCGCGGAGGTGACCGCACGGGCACGCCCACGTCCCCATCGCGCGCCAGACAATGCCGGCTGTCCTCCTGCCGGCTCCCTCGACCCCCCGCTGTCACCGCGGCCCAGCTAAGCGACCCCTGCCAGACGAGCGGCTGCCGAGTCGAGCCCGCGCCCTCCGCCTTCACTTCCCCGCGATCCCAGCGTCGCCAGCCCGGGAACGCCCGGCATTGTCGCCCTGGGTCACTGTTCCAGGTCCCGTAGTTGAAAGACTTTCCTCAACTGAAGAGCTTGAGCTCACGCCGGCCCCCCCACCCCCACTCCCCCAAATGAACCAAGGGAAAAAAAAAAAAAAAAGCGGAGAGGCCAAGCGCGGCGCGAGCGCGCAGGGCCCGGTGCGCGTCCCCGGCGCGGCAGGTGCGCGGCAGTGGCGCCCGGCGGCCCGGCAGGTGCGGGCTGGGGAGCAGGCGGAGGCCGCCCGGCCCCGCGTCTCACCTGCGCCGCCGAGGCCCGCGCTCCGAGCCCCCCGGTCGCCGCGGGCGCTTCCTGCCGGCGACTTCCTGGAGCGGCGCGCCGCGGCCCCGCGCCCTTTCACTTTCCCCGGCCGCGGGGCGCCGGGCCCGGGCGGTGGCGGGGCCGCGCAGCTCCTCCTGCTCCCCCGGCTGCCCGACCCCCGCCCCGCGCGCGCCCAGGGCCCCACACAGCCCCGGGGACGCCGAGCGGCGCGCCCGCTGTCCCCGAGTCCTCACACCTGGCAGCGAGCTCCTTCCTGGACCCCGCAGGGCGTCCACGCATCTACTGGTTTGTGACCGGGCAGTCAACCAGGAGCACCCAAGGGCCTGCAGCACCGCCAGCCTTTTGTCTCCAGATAGATTTATCCTACGCCAGCAAGAGCGACAAGTTCCCGAGGAAGAGCTACTCCCACGGTGCCCTGTATTGAAGAGGCTCCCAGCTCTTGTTCCTGTTACATCTTGTCAAGACTCAGGGAAAGGGCCATGGGAACCAATTTGTATCAGTCCTCTCCTAGTGTGCCACGCTGCTTCAATGGCCAGGCAGAAGTCCAGTGCCCCGGGCAACTTGAGAGGTGCGTTGACACACTGTTCCCATTTCACCCTGGGAACAGTTGCTCTCCAAACCCACTCACCTCTTGCCAAAAACTGCCCCTAGACTGACCCAAAGAGGGGCCTCGTTATTTTCTAGAGACACACCTGGCATCCAAGCCCAGCCCAACTGCCCAGCCCACTCCTCCAGAAGACTATCCCTGGAACAGCAAAGTCAGGCAGGAAGCAAACTTTCCAGGAAGACCTGCCCACAGTTAAAGCAATCCATACACTAAAACCAGCCTAAAGCCTGGCCATAGACGCGCAAACAGGTGTGTCTGGACAAAGCCCAGCCTCCACCCAGGCACCCTTGGGCTCCCTCTTGAGGCCAGACTGGAGAAAGGCTCACAGTTTACCCTTGGGGCCTGCTCTGAGGTCCCTACTCTGCCCAGCTGGATAGCAGCAAATGCAGCGCCCAGGAAGTAAACATGCCCAGCTCTTTGCTGCCCATGGTTCAGCCACAGGTCCGCTGGTCCGATGTCCCACAAAGCAGGTGGCTCAGGGCCCCGCATCTTCCTTCTCCTTTCGACTACATCTCTCTCTCTCTCCCTCCCTATTCTTTTTCCTAACTCTCCGTTCCTCCTGAGTATCAAACCAGTCCAGTCTGGCTCCGGCATTCCTCAGCAGTCATCTCTCTGTCCCTGGCCCAAGTCCCAGGCTCTGATCAAGGCTTCTCTTCCATCACAGAGCTCCTGCAAGAGCCTCTTCACTGTAAGGTCTCCCTCCTGGGAGCCATCCATGCACTGCCTTAAATCGCCCTCCTAAGCAAAATCTGATCCTATGGACCTGACAGTCTTTAGGATGTCTGTTGACCGACAGGAATGAGACCAAACTGCTGAGGAGCTGGAGGCAGTGCACAGCTTCCAGACAGCTCTTCAGTTCCCAAGAAAGGGGGCTTCTAACACTGGTGGTTCTGCCTTGGCCTCCTGAGCGCTGTACTCCTAAGCGAGCTCAGAGTTTTGTTTTTGGGGGGGGCAGTTGAAAAATGTCACTGCATATCTGAAGTGCTGTATAAAACCGCAATACATTGGTACTAGAGACTCAAATCTATGTCCTGGACCCTAGGAGGGACTCCTGATTTCCCACCCCGGTTCAGGGGGTGTTCATGCTTGTTTGCTAACTGCATGAATGAACACGGTATGACACTGTAGGGTCATCCAATGTTTTTCACATTTTCTCTCATAAAAAATGACAATATTAGCCAGACCCCAGTGGCTCACACCTGTAATCTAGGCTGAGATCTGGAGGATCGTGGTTTGAGACCAGTCCAGGCAAATAGTTCAAGACACTCCATCTCCAAAATAACCAGAACCAAATGGCCTGGAGGTGTGGTTCAAGCAGTGGTGTATCTGCTTTGTAAGCTCGAAGTCCTGAGTTCAAACCCCTGAACCACAAAGATACAATATTTGCCCGGTAACCTGGAGTAAATCAGAGGGGATCTGGTGGCCTATAGAGAATGTTTGCTGAAAATATTAATCTTCTAATTTTGTAAATATTTAAAATGTTTTATGAAATAGTCATGTTTATATTAGCTTAACCTTTTATAGGATTATAAGATACATGTTGTATTAAAGGAGACAGAAGGAGTGTAAACCTCCAAATAAAACAGTTATTTTGAAGTGGAAACTTGTGATTGCTTCCATGAGCAATGCTCGACAGGACAGAATATAAGCTCACGACAGTTAAAAAGAAACTGAGGTGAAACTGACAGATTAAAAATTGTACATTTATGATTTACAAGATGTTTTCATATAGGTGTACAGTGTGAAGTGATTACCACAATTAAGCTAATTAATGTATTAATATGTGTCCAATAGTAAAATTAATATCAAGTGTCACCACAAAAAGAAAAATAATAGCTATGAGGCAATAATAATATGATGTGGTGAAAACACTGACGATTTTTTTCTCCGAAATTTCAACCACACAGTACAGTATTAACTAGCATCACGGTGCTGCACATTTGACCTCAGAACTTCATCCTGTCTACCTGGAACTCTGTGTCATTAGGCCAACCTCTCTCTGTCCCCCTGTCCAGATAACCACCCCTCTATTCTCTGCTTCTAAGACTTTGATGGCTTTTAGATTCACATATCAGTGAGGTCATGCAGCATTTATTTTTCTGTGCTTGACTTATTTCACTTAACATAATGATCTTCTGATTCATCTATAGTGTCACAAATTATAAGATTTTTTTGACTGAATAGTACTCCGTTGTGAATGTGTGAATGTATACCAAATTTTCTTTATAAACCTTCCTCTGAGTACTACATTTGCTGTAAGTTTTGGTATGTGTTTCCATTTTCATTTGTTTTAAGACATTTACTGATTTCCCTTTTGATTTGTTCTTTGACCCATTGGTTGTTCAGGATTGTGTTGTTTAAATTTCCAATTTATCGCCTGTTACTGATTTCTAGCTTCATACACTGTGGAAAAGACACTTTGATTAACTTAAACTTGGTAGACTCCTTTTGTGGCCTTGCGTATGATCTCTGCTGGAGAACATTCTGTGCAGGATTGAAAAGAACATTACTCTGCTGCTGTTGGATAGAAGGTTCTGCACATGTCTCATGGGTTCATTTAGTCTAGGGTCAAGTTCATTGTTTCCTTATTGACTTTCTGTCCGGATGATCCATCCATTGTTGAAATCCCTTGCTATTATTTTGTTGTTTTTTATTTCTCCCTTGAATTCTGTTAACATTTGCTGTACAAACTTAGGTGCTTTAATATTGGGTGCATTTATGTTTACAACTGTTATATCCTCTTGATGCACTGGCCCCTTTTTTACTTTATAATAACCTCCTTTATCTCTCATGATGTTTTTTTTACATTAAATATTTTTTATTGAGCAAAAGGACATAAAATATGGAAGTTGAATTCACTAAGCAAAAGTCTTTGAGTAAAACACAGTTTTTGACTTCAATGCTGTTTTTTCAGATGGGAGTATAACCACTGTTCTCTTCTGATTACATGGAATCTCTTTCTATGCATTCACTTATGTGTTCTTAAAGTTAAAGTGAGTATCCAGAAGTCATTACATAGTTGGGTCTTTTGTTTTTTTAAATCCATTCAGCACTTCCATCTTTTGATTGGAGAATTTAGCCTACTTACATTTAAATGATAGGCAAGGACTTACCACTGCCTTTTTGTTAACTATTTCTGGCTGTTTTGTAGTTCTTTGGTTGCTTTCTTCCTATCTTCCTTTCTAAAGTGATTTTTTTTGGGGGGAGGAGGGAGTGGGTAGTGCTTCATTCTGCTTCTCCTTATTGTGTATCTACTACACTGCATATTTTTCTTTTTCTCTTCCCCCCCCTTTTTTTTTGGGCAGCACTGGGGTTTGAACTCAGAGCCTCATGCTTGCTAAGCAGGCACTCTACCACTTGAGCCACTCCACCAGCCCACATATTTTTATTTTGTAGTTACAATGATGGTTACATCAAATATCCTATAATAGTCTATTTTAAGCTGATAAAAACTTAACTTCAATTATATTTTTAAAAAAGCAACGGGGCTGGATGTGAAGCTCAAGCAGTAGAGCTGCCTCACAAGCCCTGGCAAGTACAAGGCCCTGATTTCAAACCCAGTACCTCATAAACAAAAGCAAAACAAAACAAAACAAACTTCTACATTTTAACTTCTCCTCCATCCACATTTTGTTTCTGATGTCACAATCTACGTCTTTTATATATTGTGTATCCATTAACACATTATCGTAGCTATGATTCTTTTAGTACTTTTGTCTCTTCACTTTTATACTAGAGTTAAAAGTGATTTGCCCACCACTACTTCAGTTTAGAACACTTTAGATTTCCCTCTATCTTTACTTTTACAGAGAGATTTATACCTTCATGCTTTCTTGGTGGAGTCAGTTAACATTCTTTTACTTCAACACGAAGAGCTTCTTTTGGCATTTGTATAAAGGAGCTCCAGTGCTGAGGAACTCCCACAGCTTTTTTCTGGTACAATCTTTATTTCTCCTTTATTTCTATAGGACATCCATGATGGGAATAATTGTCTTCAGTAGCAGGTTTGTTCATTTTGAATGTATATCATCCCACTCCTTCCTGGTCTTCAAGGTGTCTGCTGGGAAATACATTGATGGTCTTATGGGGCTCCCTTGGATGTGACAAATTGTTTTTCTTCTGTTGCTTTCAAAGTTTCTCTTCATCTTTGACTTTGAGAATTTGATTCTGACGTGCCTTAGTGCACATTTCTTTACTTTTGGTATATCTGGGATTCTGTGGTACTTATGGATCTGAATGTGAACTTCTCTTTTTAGGGGTGGGAAGTTTTCTGTCATAATTTCTTTTTTGGAAGTTGAAGCAAGGACTTATTTTAACATAGGATAAAATATGGAGAAGTGGAAATGGGAGCAGAGACTCCTGTCATGATTTCTTTAAATAGCTTTCTTCTCCTGGGTCTCTCATAATACCATCTTGGTTTGCTTGACAGTGCTCCATATCTGTGTACCTTCTTCACTCTTTGTAATTAAGAGCGTGGTAAGTGTTCCTTCAAGGTGAGAAACAGGCATTCTTCGGGCCAATGGCAGGCCCTGCATGGACAGGAACTGAAGTCTGCCTGAAGGGAGCTTTGAGGATATCGGGCTTTAGAGTTCAAGAAAATGCCCCATGCTTGCAAAGTGTTAAAACATTAGCATTACTGGAGAGAGAAGAAAAGGGAAATTAGAACCTGATTCTTCACATGGAGACGAGGTGTTGTGCTGGGCCTGTGGATACAAGGCACGGCTCCAGCTGCAGTAC